GTCCGGTGCTGTAGTTCTGCAGAAACTTCACTCCTCCGAATACAACTCAAAGTCCATACCAAAATATCCTTCACGTGAAAAGAGCCAACCTTCATTTATAAAAAGAGGGATTACCGTGGAAAGATTTAAGAATGTGAATGATGTAAGCGCTGAGAGGAGAGTCCATCACATAACAGGATCAAACAATAAAGATGGCAAACTAAAAACGGATGAGATGGACAATTCTGAAGAAAATACCAGCTCGTTTAATGCTAACACCAAACCCGGTGTTTCCATGAGGTCATCTTCCAAGATAGAAAATGCAGTGACTAAACCCCAGGTCGTCACTGAGCTCAATTGGCAAGATGTGAATGAAATCTTCGATTCGTATTGGGACAGAAAAATAAAAACAAAGAACGTATATGATACAACACACCTAAAGAAAATTAAAGATATGACTGCAAAAGGACAATTTTTAATTGAGAAACGAAAATTTTCAAACGATAAAGAAAATATCAAGCAACCTAACCTTGCATCAAATGCAAAAACTATTCCAATCTATTTTTTCACTGATGTAAATGAACTGCATAGAAAAAATAACAACCAAAGTAAGATAGTACGTGCAACGGAAAATGTGAATTTAACTCCACACGCTTCTGAAATCATAGAACATCGTCTGAATGATAGCCAGGGGTATTTTGAATCCGTTTCTTTACATGGTGGCCCTGAGAATGCCCACATCACTGATAGCCGCCTACGAGTGGACCTCGGGCCTTACAAAATAACTGGTGGAAAAGATAATCTTCAAAAGTATAAGGAGAGTTGGAGTCATGATGATTTAACTGAAAACAAATTTACTAAGGATACAGGATCTCCCCGTATTGCTAGAGCACCTTTAGTTGAATCCAAACGAGCAGAGTTCCCAGAAAATTTCGTCAGACTCAATGTGAAGGCAGCTTCGTCTAAAACTAAATCCACCAGAATTAGATCAAATGACCGTCAGAAAAATGAACAACTGAACAACCAGAAAAACAATATAGGACCACTCAGAACAGCGCGTCTTGGAGCATCAAAGGTTCCCATAAAATCGTCTAAAAGCCAAAAAACTCCGCACGAGATTGAAATCAGCAGCTACAGTTATGTTCCTAAGCTTGAAAAAGAGACCAATAATATAAATATATTAAATATTGATCATGATGACCTCACAACAGCTGGAAAAAGTTCACAGACATCAAGTACTCGTATTACCCCACATCAAAGTGGAGTCAATCGAAGAAATATGTTTGTGATGAAAAAATCTAAAGACGGAGGATCTGAGAACAATTCTTCAAAGGAACATCTTCAAGCAAGCATAATGAAGAAAAACAGGAGGTCTCGCTACCGAAGACCAAACAAATCTAAAAACAGATATTCCAGTGGTGCCAGACCTTTCCACAAAGAAACTTATCGGAATTCAAAATCAAACTCAATTGGGAAAGAAATTCCCGGCATCATGACAGAGGATGCAAAGATAAATCCAGACTCCCCTACAAGTAAAAATAGCGTACGTGATAAAGTGTCTCCACACAAGTCGAAAGACGATAAAAATGGAATTCATCCTCAAGAAAGTAAGAACCATCCCAAGAAAGAAAATATTGACGAATCAGATCAATATGAAGACTATCCGGACTACACCATCGATGACAGTGACTATCCTGAGGAGAGTGACGACTATCCCTTACCTCAGGAAGACTATGACCAACTCCACGACGAAGTCTTTGGTGGCAAGAGAACACCAATACATGAAGACCTCGAAAATAATGGTGTAGATCAATCTACTGATAAAAACCAAAGTCCAGGAGAAACAGAACATAGTCCAGGAGAAACAAATGAAGATAAACCTACTGTGTCACACAACCCACATAGACATCACAACCATCACCTGGATGGTCACGCTGCACAACCAAACTCGAAAGAAGGATCGTCTTCTGACTCTCAACCTCATCACAAGACGCCGCTCCCTCAGTCAATCGTAGATCAGACATCATCAATGCAACCCAATTTATTCCACAATCTTCTACAAGCTGCCGCCGCAACCGGACAAAGGATATTCTCTCCTCTCCAGATTGTGCCGGATACGCAAGAATTTCCGGTTTTTGAAACTTTTGGCGATTTCGGAAACTTTGGTCGATAAAAATATAAATACCCTGCTGGCTTCTAATTGGAAATACCGATTAAATTCCTGTTATATTCAGTAAATAACGACGTATACGCGCAAATGGCAATAATTCGACTCTTTCAACACAACAATGACATGGACAAATGAGTAACTTGCAAAGAAATCTGAAAATATACACTTTTGTGAAGAAAAATATTGATCAATGCCCAAGCAACTTGAAGCATGAAAAAATTTCTTTGCAATTGTTAATTTTGTTAATTTTTGTGATATATGTTTTCATTTCATTATAATGATTGTGTTATTTTTTCGTGTTTCAGTAATATAACTTTAATTTACTGCCTAATTTTCTTAAACCTTTTATGACAAAAAATCAAGAACTTGGAATCAAGAACTGTTAGAAACGGAATGTTTTTTGGAAAGTCGACTAAATCTATGGAATCACATTTCTTCAATTTCGAAACAGAAATTTTATTTCTAAACTATTGCAAGAAGTTCAATTAAAAGAATAGAAATAGATTCATACCATTGAAACAAAATTATTTTCCTTAAGCATTTTATATCTATCATTTATTCTTCAAATGAAAAAGTTCACGGGTGAATAAACGATTCTCACTTTAGCATTCACTCGTTTCCAACGGATGAATTGCGATGAATTGAATAAGTGCCTCTGAACTTCTTTCAATATTATATTTGAATATTTTTGGCGGTTCACAATCAAGCAGACACATTTTTCCACTTTCTGTTTCATACTAAAAATTGTAATTGCTTGTGTTTTATATCCATTGAGAACTGTAAAACATGGCTAATTTTTACTATATAGTAGACTGAAAAAATCGCATGACGAAGATAATAAAAACTCATTGGACGAAATGAATTATCGACATCTTAAGGATAACTCTTACAAAAATTAGAATTAATATAATCTTGAATAATATAAAAAGCAAACTCATATAAAATCTTACATGCTTTTAATGAGGATTTCACACTTTCAGTTTTAAGAACTAATGGTTATATATAATATTGTTTTGCAAGAGAAGAGCTAGAACGCAAGCTAAATCCATCTAGTATTAATTAGGATTTGTTTCCAAAGTGTTTGGAATATTCTGCATGGACCTGGATTCAATAATACGAAATGTCTCAGCTAATTTCCAGTGATATTAAATAAATCAATATTCTTAAAGCAAAATATTGAATTTAATATCCTAATTTATAGATCTTGTTCGCAGAACAATATAACAAAACAGCATACATTTCTATTGAATTAACTTCACTGGGTAACATAACATATTAATATATCTTTTTCAATTGCATAAAATGAATTCAATTTTGCAATGTTGACCTAGCGCAAAAGTTTTGTGAATTTTTTGTGTAACTAAATTGAACGCTGAAATGTACAGCTGCAATCTAAGAGTTGCTAAATTAGAAATGGTATTTGATGTACGTATTTATATGGGTTTGAAAACCACATGGTGAACTACGAAGCTGGCTTGATCGCGCTAGGGAGATATGAATAAGTTTTGTAAAAAATTTGATCGTTTCAATTGATGGACAGCGACTTAAGTGATGTGGGGACGATCGATAGCGGCATTGACGGTACATTTAGACAATTGTTATCACGATAGTCAGCCTAGCATTCTTAATAGATATTTTGCATTATAATGGAAGTATTTTCATGACCTTCATATCTTTGCGAAGCCTATTTATTTCCAAGACAAATAATTTCGTACAAAATTGTTTTTAGCTACATATGAGTCAAGAAACATGTAGCCTAAAATTAGCTAACACACCTGAACAAGAAACTTTATCCATACATAAGTGTTTTGATACAAATCTATCGACAAACGTATCTCAACTAGAGTGAATCAACAAACGTGTGTTAACACGAAGTACTGTGAGACATTTGTTATTTTAAGGCATAATGCCATAAATATCTAGCACAATACGGCAGAATTTTACCCATAACAAATGAAAAGCAAACGCTATCATTGAGGAAAGTCGAAAGGCTCTCCAAAATATTTATACCTGCAGTTAAATAATAAAATTGCCTTGCTTGCGACCTTTCTTCAGTTTTGGCTCGCAAATGCGTTATAGAAGCAGATTGGCAAATTAACCAGCCGTAGAAAAATCAGCTTCAGTCTGCATTAATACATAAAATTTAACAGCCAAAATTTTTGAAGAACAAAACAAATATATTCTTTTGTTAATCAAATGTCATCCGCATGATAAGGAAAGAGTTTCAATTTAACCATAATTCGATTCGCTAAGTGAACGTAAGTACTTACGCTCTATTTTCTTGTCTACGATTGGTGGATTTTGCTTGAAAGGCCGTCAATGATTGGCTGATGAACTTACGATCTTTTAACTTTTTTTGAAAGTATAGGCCCTGAGAGTATGAAAAATTCGGCTCTACACTCAGAGAAATGTGTGAAACTTTATCCGAATAGCGAGGCACTTTTTGACCTTGTCTGAGCCAGTGTGACCCAGCTTGGCTTAAAAAAATGCGTATCAGTGATACGTCCACTCTTTGCTCGCGCTGTAGTAAGAAAGTGCGTCACTATTTGGACAATATGACCCTATCTTTTTTCTGAGGAATACTTCTGTCAACACAATTCGGAAACGATATAAATATTTCGCTACCAATGATGCCACCTCTAAGGCGCTACTCACAATGGCGACGCCATATTGTCATTCACTCGCCGCACGAATGTTGCCAGACGCCTCGGCTCCAGTTGTGACAATGGCCCAGAGAATAACCATTGGACGTGACGTAAATGTTGGCTAAGCTTCTTCACAAAGGAGATGATCTTCTTGGGCCAGCTATATAACACAAAAAGAATTAGTCCATCGCACAGTGTCAACTGAAACTCCGAAGAGACTGCATCGAAATCATTACGAACTAAACGAACGAGTGGGTATTATTATTAAGTACATTTATTTTAATTATAACCACAAAAATACATTCTTGAGCAATTGAAGAGATCAATTGAATTGAATTGATAAATAGAATAATTTTTTACGAGTGGCTTAGATGCATATATAATAATCGATGTACCAATCAACTTACATTCGTCTAATTTACATTGACACTCATTCAATCAATCTATCAAAACAACACGCTAAACGAAAGACCTAATTTATTTTCTAGTTAAATTATACATACTTAATTTTACATTGATTTCTTTAGTTACAGTTTTAAATTCACTCGCCAAGGGTTATTTTATTCATAATGTAATTGAAGAAAATTTTCCGATAATCCTAAATTTCAACCGGGAGTTAGACTTAGATTTGAATTTACCGGTAAAAGTAATAGACTTAGAATAGATTTGAATTTACGGGTAAAAATTGAATCCGTAAAAGTTGAACTAATATTTGAACTTTTACAAAAAATAAGGCCCAAAACACGAGCAAAATATCTGCGCAATCAAACAAATTAATTTCCCAAATTATTTTAGGGTTAGCGCAGGTGTTTAAGCCTTTACGACGGTATGACTTGCCATTGCACAACCTTATTTTTACACACATGCGGTACGCACAAAAACGATATTTAATATCCCGATATAAGAACATATATCAATAGTCTGCTTAAATCGCACGTTTTTTAATCAGTTCAAAAATTTCTGAAAATTTTTTTATCAACGTTTTTATTTACTTCGATCTTTTTATTTTTTCCTGTTGAAATCTTAGTGATCCTTATATATATATAATAATATACGTTTAAAAATTACTTTTTAAAGACAACACTTCCAATGAATCCAGTATCTCCAATCTTACAGATGTACAATGAATTTCTCATTTAATTTTCGAATATTAAAAAAATTAATTTTTCAATTTTTTTAATATATAAATTTTTTTAATATATAATTTTTTTCAAAATTATTTATTTTATTAATTGATTCATGCATTGCCTCTGATTTCACACAAGTGTGCAAAATTTCAGATCAATTAGACAGGTAAAAGTGTGTCAAATATCAGTTATAAGATTTGTAGCTGACAAAATTATTTTTTCAATTTTTTTAATATTGAAAAAAAAAAAAATTTTTTACTTTTCAAAATAATTTATTTTGACATTTGATTCATGCATTGTCTCCAACTTTCCACAAGTGTGCAAAATTTCAGATCGATAGGATAAGTAGAAGTGTATTAAATTTCGATTACAAGATTTGTAGCAGACAGACAGACAGACAGACAGACAAGAAGTGAAGTTAAAGAGAAGTGTTGTAATAATAATGTAACATTTTTCTAATTTATCTCTGGTACCTTTTTCGAAATTAATAAATTTATTCGTTTATCTACACTAATTCCTTCACACAAGATTATCATCTCTTTAGCTAGGGTACTAGGCTATGATATTTTGCTTATTCATAGTTATACGTTTTATTCGGGATTTAAAGTTTTTTTATTAGTTTTTTCATATATGAATAATATGAGTGAATCTAAATTATCAGTTTTATTCAGGAATTAAAGTTATCAGTTTTATCCATACATGAATGAATCTAAATTATCCGTTTTATTCAGGAATTAAAGTTATCATGTACTATTCAAATATGAATAATATGAATGAATCTAAATTATCAGTTTTATTCAGGAATTAAAGTTATCAGATTTATTCATAAATAAATAATATAAATTAATCTAAATTATCAGCTTTATTCAGAAATTAAAGTTATCAATTCTATTCATAAATAAATTATATGAATGAATCTAAATTATGAGTTTTATTCAGATCCGCACAATCAAGATGCGTGGATTATTCACCCTCGCCCTAGCAGCGACTGTACTCGCCCTCACGCTACTCTACAGCGCTCCTCTGACGCACGCTGCTCCGTCTAGTGCTGATACCGAACAGGTATAAATATGTTCATTTTTTCCTTGGTTAATATAATATACCTGAATACTTCATTAAATAAATGAATTTTTAATGAACAAATGTTATAAATTATTAATGTTTTGTTTTAGTATATTGTTTTTCAATTATTTACGATTGAATTTTAAACATTTTTGTCTCCAAGTTTTAATAATCTTTAATTAGAATTTTAATATTAACGACCAGTACATTTAATTATAATTTGATGTAAATTTGTACTGCCTACTTGTATATTTTACTATATCTGTTCAGTTTATTTTTTAGCTGATCACTGTTCGTTAATCATATTTCTACTGCTGATTTCACCACAAAGTCTGACACGCCAGCAGCCCAGCAAGATAAAAAATCTACAGAAGACGACTACGCTCCAGCCGCCACTGGTACGTGATGGGTGACTGTACAATGATAGTGATGATACTCTGTACACTGTACACTGTGCACTGCGCACTGTACACTGTGCACTGTACACTGTCCACTGTGCATTGTACACTGCAGGCTTTAGACTGTACACTGTACACCGTAAACTGTGCACTGTACACTCTACCGGTTGCAATGGTGACAATGGGCAACTAAAATACATTTCCCATTAGAAAAACTTCTAAAAATATTGTTTATTTCTTAAATTTTGAAAATAATTTTTGTCTTGCAGGTAAACTAATAAATATCTGGTAAATTTACTACATATATAATATACTGGGCAATCCTGTTTTTAAATAGAATCAATATATCGATAGAATAGCGGAAAATGTCTAAATAGTTTGACGTTAATAAGAGAGTAAGATTAAAATAGTATTCCACTCTCCTCAGCCATGCATCCGACAGTTTCTTCATCTTATCCCGCTGTTTCCATTATCGATTCTGTCGCAGTCCGCGGTGTAATATGGCTGATTGTTCGTAGATGAACGGACTCAGAATCGGGTTCGATGATTAAAAGTGTTCCAATATTTGCGCAGCAATCTTTCCTGGGTTTTCTCAAGCAAAAATACATTGGTTCCAAAGCCACTTGCTCGATTAATCAGAAAGCCGACTTTTAATCACCGAAAATTCTTCATGGTCGCTAAGCGACCGAAAACTCACAATACCCCAATACGTAGAGAATAAACGATTTTCTGCTGTCGTTGCATGGAATTTTGAAGCGAAAAACGGTACTAGATAATGGAGAGCCTAAAATCAGTCGTTGAGAGACCATATATGAAGATTTCGAAATGGCAATTGAGGGCTTAAAAGTGATTGAGGCTAGTCGACAAATTACTTATTTCCATGAAAATTTTCTGTTATAATTTCACAGAAATCTTAACGCTGAAAATTTTCTTCGTCTCTATAAAGTAAATAGAATGTCATGTAAAGCATTTATTCTGAATGTGTTCTGCCAATTGCGTCCTTGGTTATATTGAATTTATTGTTATTAATATACACAGCGATATAATTCCTCTACGTTACTAAAATTCCTTATTAATTTACAGATTCCAAAGGGAGCCACAAATCATCTTCTAAGGGTGGCAAATGTGAGTAAAAATTACCAATTTAACGTGAAATATCATCACAAAAGTCCTTAATTAATCTCATCAAGCGGTAATGGACATCTTCTCTAGACAACTCTCAGAATTTATGTTGCTTTAAAAACGTTTCAAGCTAACAATTCTGAAATTAATATAATAAAGCTTGTTAGCTCGGATTGATTTCCGAGCATATGCCTGAAAAATTAATATATTTTAAAAATATAATAATAATAATATTTAAATATAATAATTAAAATTAAAAGTTAAATATTATTAATATTAATTATATGAAATATTGATACTTATATTATTATTATTAACGTAACTCCTGACTCACGATTTTTGCTTTGCGCGCTATGTAAAATATCCTACACTGAAAAAATTAATAGATTAAATTGTTTTAATAGTGACACACTGTCTGCACGTGTAGCACTGATACGCCCTTGTGGCAGCCAAACTGGGTCAGAATGACCCATACAAGGGCAAAAAGTGCATTTCTATTTGGACAAATTCTCATTCATTTATCTGAGTATAACTTAACTTTAACATACATAATTCATTCAAAATTCATACATAGTTAACACGTAATTCAGACATAATTCATACATAATTAATAAATAAATCATACATATTTCATACATAATTCATAGAAAATTCATACATAATTCATACAAAATTCATACATAATTCATATGTAATTCATACATAATTCGTGCATAATTCATACATAATTCATAAATAATTAATACATAATTTATGACGACGACTTTTAACAGCATTTAAAGAAGGCGATGAAGGCCATCACAGCGACGGTGACAAGCACAGCAACTTCAAGTCTTCATCTTTCAAGAAGTCAGGGTCCTTCAAGAAGGGCGACTCGTTTAAGGAAGGAGACGAAGGCGGACACGACAAGAAAGGCACGGATGTGAGTGTTTAACGATAAACTAAGATAAAGAGATACTAGAATGCTGCGAACGATAGAAACTAGCAATTAGGTATATATTGAGGGTATTAAATTGGGGACAGAATGATAATGTGATAAAAATTGAAAAAAATATAACTCAGTACTCACTGCAGTGAGTGACAGAGAGCGCATTTTCTCGTAGACGAAAACTTGATGTCACGGACGGACGGACAGACGGACGGACATGGCGAGCACAATAGTGCATTTATTCCATAAATGAGAAAATGAGCTAAAAACGTAACAAGGCACCACCCTCATGTCTTAGCCAATCAGAGCGCAAGTCGTTCTTGACCAATCAGACAGCATCTTACAAAGCCCGTCATTGTCTCCCCAGAACAAAGGATATATTCTATCGGCTTGCATTACTACGCTATCAATTCCACGAGGAAACGATGAAAAATGTATACTGCGGGATAATTTTTACCGCATCTTGTGCAAGCACAACAACCAAGACTTTCCGCTCGATCAAGTAATAGAATTAAAACTTCAACAAATTCAAGGCCGCGAATACTTTCAGACGCCTGCGACTGAAAAATAATGCAGGTGCAGTTGTTAACTGGTCATTTCTTCTTAAATATTCATAAGCATAATAAATTAGTTTAAAAGTTTCAATGGCAGCTTCTATATTGCAATCGTTCTAGAACATTGAAGGTTTTTTACGTATGAATTTTTTTCGAATCAATTTCAATTTTTGCTTTTTCCGATGATCTTTTTTAGAGCCACAAAGATGGAGGTGGAAAAAGCTACGGCGGAAGCTTCCACAAGAGTCACAGCTACTCCACCAAGTCCGGAGACCATAAAGGCGGAAAGGGATCCGCCAGCACAAAATCCGACGAAAAAAAGGAAAAGAAGGAAGGAGATTCAGGTGGAAAGAAGGAATCTGAAGGAAAGAAATCGGCGGAAGGCGGGCACAGTAATCATGAAGATTTTGGTGCTCATTTTGGCAGTTTCGGCAGCCATAGCCACGACAGCAAAGGGTTTGATTTCAAGGATTTCAAAGCAGACTTCGATAAAAGCGGACACTAAACATTTACGCAGAGAGAAATATTTCGTAAAATGTGTACAATTACATATATCCGAGTTGGACTTGCTATTTGAGAAATGTTTCTTCAAGAATATTCCCTAAGGTCGCAGCATTTGCATATCAATGATTAATTTAAAATTTCAAACATTCTGAAGCTCGTAGCAATTGCATATCAAATATTAATTTACAAATTCAGACATTCTGAAGCTCGTAGCAATTGCATATCAAATATTAATTTACAAATTCAGACATTCTGAAGCATTTTGGAGTCCTAACATTCAACATACCATTTCTTCTCAATTTAGTCGTGAGATATTTCCACTGGGAAAATCTCAGGTATGAATTTTAATGTATATTAGAATGCAGTTTCATCTGAAGAGGTGCAATCTAAACTTCTAAATGCTTGCGGCTGAAAACTTTGATGGAAATAAAAGTTTACAACGGTAACTTGAACTCGCTCAATTCGCAACGTTGATGTTTGATGTTGTTGGACGAAAAGTTCTCCTTGGCCAGAACAGAATTATAACCCTTGAATTATATAACCCATAATTATTATATAACCCAGAATTATTATATAACCCAGTTTTTATTATTATATAATCCAATTATAACCCTATAACCCTTCTAAACCCTTGCGCCCTCAACCCTTAGCTCGTCAACCCGAAAGCATCTTAGATATATTTATATTTACAATGAATCATGAAATCTTTTTAGAATTTCACCATACATTTGTATTCAAAATTGTCTAAAATCAAGAGCGAATGGCTTCTCAGGCTCTGAATCTCAGACACGCTGGTGTCACTTTGCAACATGAAAAAAAATTGAAATGTATTCTAATGAGGATGTCAAAGTGACTCTTGAATAAAACTACTTGTGTCAAAAGCCGTGTCTCTGCCACTGATCATGCCTCTGCCATTGATCATATCTCAGTCATTGATCATACATATCTCTGCAACCGATCTTATCTCTGGCACGAATCATATCTCTGCCACTGATCATATCTCAGTCACTGATCATATCTCTGCCACTGATCATGTCTCTACCACTGATCATATCTCTGCCACCGATCTTGCCTCTGGCACTGATCCTGTCTCTGCCACTTATCATGTCTCTGCCACTTATCATGTCTCTGCTACTTATCATGTCTTTGCCACTTATCATGTCTCTGCCACTTATCATGTCTTTGCCACTTATCATGTCTCTGCCACTTATCATGTCTCTGCCACTTATCATGTCTTTGCCACATATCATGTCTCTGCCACTTATCATGTCTCTGCCACCGCAAATGTCACTGATCTGATCGTCTCTGTCACTGATCGTCTGCGTAGGTTGGTGACTGCAAGTCTGTTATGTTGAATACAACGACAAATTAAGTATTGCATTTATTTTTTCCAAACAAATTGAACATCGTTTTATTATTGCTACAATTGGTATTTAAGTAACCAACGATATGTAATCTGAAAAAAACACTAGTAAACGACAAATGAGCGGCCATAAATAGATTATGCAGATAGAAGCATTGCCTACAAATATTGTCATCCTACATAAAATATCCAATAATTCCAAATATAAAACAATCACTTTATTTGATTTGGAAAAACTCATACAAAATTATCAACTACACCATAAAATACCTTATATCGCCTCAGGGATTAAGAAGATCTTAATTAAGGATCGTCTTTATTAAACATATAACCGCAACACAAGCAATAAACTAAGTAAATACATATGCCGCTTTGTTTGCTTCACCACTTGAATCTCAAGTTATGAACAAAATTCAAAATTATCTTCTGATTTCATTTTATATTACCTAGCTTTCCCCATAAATTTAAATCATGATATATCGACATCGTATAAATACCCGTTAACCCTGCGGCATTCTCATGTCAATAGCAGAACCGCGATTGGCGGCACGGAATCTACGGTATGCCTGCGCTGTTGGGTATAAATTAATTAGCTTCTATGAAATGCACAAATTAATCCAAATTATGCATCGGATCAACGCCGCGCCGGTCCTATGCAGAGTTTCTGTCACATGCACGCAGGCTTTGAAGTGAACAAAAGATTTCCAAACAAGGAAGGCACGGTCGAGCAAAATAGTTTAATCAAGCATGCGTTGAATGCTAAAATAAGTCATGTCTTTAGGTAAATTACGTAGAAACAACGTCTAATCCACATAAATTCAAACATGCAAGCGCTTTATGAACGTTGATTCAACTTCAGATGCCTCTACCCGCATGCAAAAAAACCTGTTGCCGCAGCACTGTTAAGAAAAGTTGTAAAGCAATCGAAATAATTTAAGCTTGTTCCTAAGATTTTTAAAAGCACACTGGTTTTGAAAAAGAAAATAATAAAAATTATGTACTCAAATTTTTTTGGAAAAAGAAAATCTTTCCCTCCATTCAAAAGAAAAAATTTTCTTGAGAATGATTGGAAGCCTAGAAAAAAATCAACTACTATTTCCGCACTGAAGAAGGCACTTGTTTCTTGTCCGCATGAGCGATGTTCAATTTTTTGCAGGCGAGGCGTGAATAACAGACATGATGGCCACGTCGCCGGCAGGTCTTCCTTAGAGGAAAAAATATAACTCAGTACTCACTGCAGTGAGTGACAGAGAGTGCATTTTCTCGTCGACGAAAATATGAAGTCACGGACGGACAGATAGACGGACAGACAGACGGACAGACAGACGACGGACAGACGGACATGACGAGCTATTTGGTGCATTTTTCCATAAATGAGAAAATGCGCTAAAAAAACTTGAATTAAGGATCTTGTCGGAACAGCGAAGAAATGTAAAATGTTTTGAAATAGAACTTAAGTGGATACCAATTGATTATAAAATTTGTAATATTTCAATAAAAATTTTATATGTCATGACATTTTTCTATTTTTGACTACAAAACACAGTTTGCGGCAGGTGATCAGCTGACTTTCACAGAGATGAAAAGAATTAGGTTCATAAAACGGTTTAATAATTAATCGTTTAGAGTATCATTTTTTCAGATTTCAGCTTCAGAAATGAAAACTTTTATGCGAACTTTCAAGTCCAGATAAATTTTTACGCGATGCTCTAGACTTTGATTTCTATTAAATCCATGTTGTGTAATTTGATAAATATATTCTGATAACTTTTCATCGTAACCCTTTCCAATATACCTTCAAAACTTTTTGGGGGCACCGCGTCATATTTTTTATCTACTTGAAAAAACCTACCTAGACGGATTTAAAAACACATCTTTTCGATAAACTATTTTACTTCGTAGCTTATCGCTAATAATAAAACTCATTCTATTTTTTAAGCGTAATTATTTTCGCTTTTTCTGACCATGAAACTAAGCAGAAATTTTCTTGAGATCGTTATATCACCATTATTCCATATAATGAAAGTTCATTATTTAATATTCCACGTAGTTAATATTACCTATTACTCCACGCAGGTAATAATAAGTAATTGCACTTTACTACTTATAGCATTAAATTCTAAGTATTTCATTACTGACTAACATGTACAAACACTATTAAATTGTGGCTTGGCAGTGACAAGTGGACAGAGTTTATTGTAAAGGCCCAATTTAATTCTAAAGAACATGCTTTTTAGCGCATTTTTTCATTTATAGAAAACGACGCTGTTGCGCTCGTCATTTCCGTCCGTCTGTCTCTGTCTGTCCGTCCGTCTGTCCGTGACCACGTTTTCGTCAACGAGAAAATGCGCTCTTTCTCACTCACTGCAGTGAGTACTGAGTTATATTTTTTTATTTATGAGGCCTATATATAATTACTATTGTTGAGCTGAATGTTAATGAAATTCAAACGATACCAAACTAGCCATAGAAATATTTTATATGATTTTTAAATTATTATGCGACTAATTTTTCTTAATAATTTGAAAGTATTTGTATGATTTCAGTAACTGGAAGTACCCGTTTATCTACCAGCGTTATTTATCACCGGCCTTTGTTTTGATTAAATGCTATTAATTTATTCCCTTCTTTTCGCCACATTACATTATTACATACTATCGATTATTCGATTATTTTTCCATTATTTTTTTTTACACGATTTTCGATTATTTTTACATGAAATAAGAAACCTAATGAAACCCGTATGTACAATGTACTCATATGATAAAATTTAAGAATACATTAATAAAAAATCAACAGCCGTCATTTATTGCGATTAATTGAATAGAGGATCAGAGAATTTAAAAAATTATTTAATTAATAAAATACAATCTCATGTTTCAAGTTTATGCTTGACTAACGAGAAAATAGCTGCAAAGCGCTGCTTGGCCGCATTTTGCGGTCGGTCACTTGAGAGAAATGCTGCTTTCGAGCACAGCTATAAATACGGGTAACTGGAGCTGTCGCGTCAGTCTCTGACTTGGTGTCATTGCGAAGGTATCTGCAATACCTGGAACTTTTATGACTAAACTACGGCAATAATGACTCTTCTCTCGCATGAGGTAGGTTTAAATAGATAATTTTTTAAATGCTTTCACATGAAAAATTTTTTAAATGCTTAAAGCGTATAAAAACGAAGCAACTTTTTACAGAAATTGCAACTTTTAACTGAGGATAATCAAATCTCAGTAAAATTTTACAATTTAAATATTCAATACGAAAACAACATTGATTTTTTTTAAATAATTGTCAGTTTTGCCTCAGAATCTATAAATTAGAATGTGTTGGTAAAGAAATCAACAGAATCAACCTATCTCTTGATTCCAATGAGGCAGATAAGAATATGTTTGATTGTCGATTGATTTAACACCATCTGTCAAAAACTTTAATTCGGAAATTAAGGCTTGTGAGCTCTCGTCCTGCTTGCAATAATTCCAAGCTTCAGAATATCCAACAAAAAATATTTCTTCATGCTTCAATATTTATAATGTCAAAATTGATCATATTCCAAAAAAAATTAAAATCAGTGGAAAGTTCAATGTACAATTTTATACTTGTGTTACTGTCCGAAATATAAAAATGTTTTCTTATGTTAATAGAATCTAGAGAATAGTTAACAAAATTCAACCAAAGAGTAGAAATTAAAGACTACTCACAGAATTCCACAAACATATTTAAATTTCATGATGCAAGCCCACGAGCCACGACACATGGAAGGTAAAAGCGATTAAATATTTAGGTTCTGTGAGTAATGAATGTTTTAGAGCCTCTGAGTGCTACGACATGCAAATGATTCGAGGGCGGCAGTTTGCAAATGATTAATGTTTCAACATGACTGGAGGGATACAACATGTAAAAGGCTACATGCAAACTTTAATGTTGCAATGTTGCAGTATGCAGCTGATTAGAGTATTACAACTTGTTGATGATTAGAGTTATGAGAGAACTAACTCTAAGAACTAACTAACTCTAGAACTAACTCTAATCATCAACTTGTTGATGATTAGAGTTAGAGTTATGATGATTAGTACAACTTGTTGATGATTAGCATCCAGTTTAGATGATTGCAGAGCTGAAACAAGCGATGATTGGAGTTTGTTAACATGAAGCCATCGTTTGGATATCAATAGTTCGAGGCAACGTTTGATGCGTAGATTGAGCCAACCTTTGCATAAGTTTGTCGAAACAACTGTAAACTATATACATTTAAATGCCCTAATTAGGCCCTACATGTATCAATTATGAAATTTCATTTAGATTCCTACAGACATGATCGCTCTGAAAGCCAACATTATGGAAATTTTTATTTGTTGGACCCATGCAGCAATTAGCGGCCCCGGTCTCTTGGGTATTGCATCCGTTATATAACATGACCGAGACAACATTAATGCGATGCACCGAAGCATAAAACTAGACAAAGGCTAATTACCTTGATAGGCTTAGCATTATTATGCCTGAAATGATGCAAAAGTCAGATCGTGTAACGCACCCATGATACCATTTTTGTGTACAATTTATATGTAGATTTGTGCGACAAAATTGTCCTGAGTTTTAGGAAAAAACACAGGTTGAGTTGAAATAACAGTTTTCTCAACTCGACCACAATGGATCAACTTCTCATGAGTTTTAATTGATCTAAATGAAATGAATTAGCTAGTGCCATGTAGAAAATTTCAAATCCTTTCTTAAAATATCAAGATATCTTCTGATATTTCGATTGTTGTTAATCGTACGGTAGCCGTATATTTAGGTTTAATGTCTGTTCTTTATTACTTCATTTTTTATTATGAATGTCTATTTTAGACGAATTGATTTATTAATATTTCTTACTCAGTAATCTATGTGCATAAATACCTTCAAATAGCGAAATGTGTTACAAAAAGGTTCCTTACTCATCAATCAGACATTAATGTTTACTTGATCCATTCTAAATCTTAGTCATTTGATAAAACAAATTAATAATTATGATTGAAAACAAGATAAATTTTCCTTAAGCTATTTTCTCACTTTTTGCTTAATCCATTCTATATCTTCGTAATTGTTAAAACACGACAAAAATTTCTATTTGAAAATGAAAGCACTCTACCGTCACAGGACAAAATTGTACCGGAAAACAAAATAATTTATTCTTCACTAATCTTTTCCAAGTTCCCGGAGACACGGCCCTTTTTTACACTAATCTCGAAGATTCGGCAATTTCCCATCACACAGACGATTATTATGTAAGATCCCTCCACACGATCTCCCTTCACTTTCACTTATCTGTAACTCGTACGCGTCATCCAATGCGTATATGTTACGCTGGACGTAACTTAGATCTACGAACACGTCTCACAATTGCGAAAGTGTGACCGAACGATTTTTCTTCTTTCGATCACGGTGACATGAAACAAAAATCTGAGGATGCTCACGCATGCACGTGAGCGAAAGCCTCTTCCACTTTCGTCATGAAAAATGAGAGATTTTTAATTTCGCTTGTTGCGTTTAGGAAAAATCTCTAACGATTTATCGCAAATAATTAATTCATGATTATTAACTCTAGAACTTACTACTTATACAGACCTACTTCATTTCATGATTATTATAATATGCATTGCAATAATCCTTGACCTTGTCCTACAGAAACTATCGATAATTTATGCACAAATTGAGGAAAGAAGTCATAGGTTTCTGTTGGGAGTTAAATGAAAAATCCAAATCCTGTTAAAAATAATTGAAGAAAAAATTGATTCACTCTACTCAAATGATCCTCAGAATAAAACCGTTAACTAATCACGGTTATCACGCACGAACCCGATGCTGGGTCACGACAAATTCAGACTTTCTTAAAATATACAGAAATACAAGGCTGAGCAGGGAATTGTTCACTAGCAACAGAGACAATGTCGCATACCTCACGCGTGTTGCAAAACTGCCGTTAGAGGCCCAGTTGAATTGCACACTCGGTAGCGCCCTACGCTTTGTTCGACTTGCAAAAGAATTTCATTATAGACTTTTCTTCTGTACGCTTCAATTTTACCGTCACCAGAGGCAAGGCCGGTCGATCACGTTGTGTAATTCAGCCTTCAATTTGATCTTGTCCGACGACCATTTAAGTTATCTAGGCTCTTGGACAGTAGCTTTATCTAGTTCATATTATCAAGGCTCGATCAGATGGCCTGTTTGATATAGACCATAGATCCCTGACCAGATATGACATGGGCATCCAATTGCCCGATATGATCTGCATTTGTCAGAAGATCTGAGCTCTCAACACACAACCGATATTACAGGACACATGGCATTCCTCCTGAAAAAAAAATAAATTTGCGCACTCACCTTTTTTAACCAAACATATCAATTGTTGGTGTATTGTCCAAGGATAAGCTAGAATCTTTAATACATTTTTCAATGACCAGAGAAAAATTTCATTTATTGTCAGAGAAAAAAAATTCTCTTGTCATTAGTTGCAAGTGTACAAAGAAGCAAATTCTGTCATCTACTACTAATTTTTTAATAATTGTATGTTGGAAGCATGGCACTTAATTTATGTAATTTATAATTCTTATTTTGTATAATTCATATTTACTATATAATAAATTATATATTTATATATATAATTATAATTAAATATATTGGAACTGTCGGTGGCACTTGCTTATCGTATCAGGATATTAAATTATTATTATTATAAAAATGTAAATAGGATCATTATTTTGTTATGTTATTTGAGAATAACAAAGCTTCATATTTCTTTTCATAATAAACTAAAATTTAAATCATAGCCCAATGCTCAAAGTGGTTTGGATTAGGTCTTTCCAATATTAGCATTATTATGGTTCTAAATTATTAATCAAATGATTGGATGCAAAGTTTAGGTTGACTAGATTTGGAGGTAACGATTTGATGAATACATTTATAAATTTCTCGAAATTCTATCGACTATATCGTCTTGTCTCTGCACTCCCCGAATTTCATCGCAATTGCGACTTTACGTTGTTTAAATTATTAAAATTTGCTGCCTTATACTACGGATCTCTTGATGCGGTATCAGTGATGTGTAACCTGATACCGCAGACCTCTTGATGCGATATAAATGATGTGCAACCTGATACCGCAGACCTCTTGATGCGATATAAATGATATGCGACATGATACCGCAGGCCTCTTGTTGCGATATAAATTATGTGCGACATGATACCGCAGACCTCTTGATGCGATATAAATTATGTGCGACATGATACCGCAGACCTCTTGATGCGATATAAATGATATGCGACATGATACCGCAGACCTCTTGATGCGATATAAATGATGTGCGACATGATACCGCAGGCCTCTTGTTGCGATATAAATTATGTGCGACATGATACCGCAGACCTCTTGTTGCGATATAAATTATGTGCGACATGATACCGCAGACCTCTTGATGCGATATAAATGATATGCGACATGATACTGCAGACCTCTTGATGCGATATAAATGATGTGCGACATGATACCGCAAACCTTTTGATGCGATATAAATGATGTGCGACGTGATACCGCAGACCTCTTTTTTTTAACACGGCCCACGTATTTTAAGCCTAAAATTAGCTGTCTGTAGGCTTGTGTATGCGCGGTGTGATTTAATTACGAATTGAAATTGCCTGTCTGTGGTGAACCAAGGCCTTATATGACTCAAATAAACCTATTTATCAATAATTTATGCCGATTTGGTTGTTCTTTCAGTTTTTTAACGTGGCATGCTGGGGGAAGGGGAAACAGCAATGCAATGAAATGGTAACACGCTTACTACCAACAAGTCATTTTGGACATAAGTGAAATAATCTTGCTTGAACTTCCATTGAAACCCCGTTTTTTATAATTCCTGATTTTTTGTAACTTTAATTTCATATCGAGAGTGCTGATGAGAATTGATTTTGAAAAATTGTTCGAAATAACATTTGTTTCGGGAACAGAATATTAATTTAATAAACAATGAAGCAGTACAGAAAAACCTAGAAATTTATTACTCGTCAGCCGTGGTAGGCAAATATTGCCAATGTGGTAACCAAGACTACACGTTGCAATAATATTGCTTTCTTCGATTTACGTTTAATTGTTTGGATTCTCTGAACTCACACGCGGATTTTGCGAAATGCGGAAGCTTCCGAATCATCAGGTTTGTTAAAAGACAATCGTGCAACGCTAACACGCACCGCTGCTGTTAGTGCCTTTGTTTATACGTTAGTGCTTTTGTTGTTTTATACAGAAGCCATTAGCTGATATGACGGCTGCGCAGGTGAGAAGGAAATTGAAATAAGTTTCGTGACCACCCAATATTAAATCTGATTAATATATTACATCAAATTCAACGTATTTTTATTCATTACAATAGCTGCTTACAATTACTTATTAGTGTACTTTTTTGTACAACTTTAGTACAATGGTACGGAATTGTAGTAGACCTATTAAAAATAAACTATATTTCTATCAATATCATTCGGTCGAAATAAACTTGGTCATAATAATAATTTTTGGAAAAAATTAGTTGAGAAAATTTCAGGACTTGTATGTTGATTTTAATTTCTACGAAAATGAAACAATTCACGGATGAACAAGTGTTAAAAATTAATAGTTCTTGAGCATCTCTTATTACCGATAATAATTGCGCATTTATAATCAAGAATAATACAAAAATAAATTAATTCAATTTCTAGTTTGCAAATCTGGCGTCCTTGACATTAGTGTTCTTTAGTTTGGTAAATGTTCACTTAGAGTCCCGTCACGAATAATTTCCCGTTCATGCATTTATCGGCTTTCAATTTTCATTTGTATATTCAAAATGGAATACAAATGTCTGCTTTTTCTCCAGAAAAAAAGATGGGGGGAAATTGTTGCACTATAAATTTTAATTTTTTTCACCAAGTGAATGTAAACTTTTTCCCCATAAAAGATACTGATAAATTGTTGTGCATGAAATTTTAATTTTTGGCCCCAATTGAATGTAAATTTCAATTTTTTCCCTGGAAAAAGGTGCTGTGAAATTGTTGCGAATGAAATCTTAATTTTCGTCTCCAATTCAATGTAAATTTCCATATTTTTCCCTGGAGGAAGGTGCTGAGAAATTGTTGCGCATGAAATTTTAATTTTCGTCTCCAATTGAATGTAAATTTCCATATTTTTCCCTGGAAAAAGGTGCTGCGAAATTGTCGCGCATGAAATTTTAATTTTCGTCTCCAATTCAATGTAAATTTCCATATTTTTCCCTGGAAAAAGGTGCTGAGAAATTGTTGCGCATGAAATTTTGATTTTTGTCTCCAATTGAACGTAAATTTTCATATTTTTCCCCAGAAAAAGATGGTGGGGAAAATGTTTCGTCTCGTCGTCGCGGTTGCCGTCGTCGCACAGGTCGCCGTGTCAGCGTCTGAAGCTCCTCAAACCAAGCGCCTGATTGGCCGAGCCTTCTTCGCCGTAGCAGAACCTAACGGTAAAGTGAACAGATTTATGCCTTAAAATTTTATATTATATAGATTATTATCGTTATAAGCTTATGTTTCCTGCGTTGTCCTTTATTTGAGCGTTTTCAATGCTTTCATTATGAAAATAGTTATTATAAATCAGCAGCTCTTATGTTTATAGCACGAAATGTTACCGTTAGAGAATGAATTGTAAAAGTTTTAGAACATGGAATTTCATTTCTACCGGCGTAGGTTGCAGCGGTAAAGTATTTGCTGTTCAAATATTTACCACTCCGAAATGAGTCGAAATGCAGAAACCGTGATTTGGTGAAATTTCACACAAAATGAAAAAACAGTAATTAGGGATGCCATCTGGGAGAACCAGTTTTTTCATGAATTCATTATTGCCGATGAATGTGAATTAGTCAGCCAGATTTTTGTATTGCATGATTTCTCGATATTGAGGTTATTCCAAAATGTTTAAATTGTATTGCATATTTACCCGTCAATTCAAAACCAATGAACCCATAACATTATTCTCTAATATAGTTATGAACAAAATGTTAAACATTTTCATCTAATAATTGTTGTATTTTTTTTTCAAGTTTAGTGATGAACGTGCCTGTAGCATAGCTTCAAACCATGAATGTTATTGACAAAAATAATATTTTCAATGTGAAATAAAATGAGAAATAAAATTATTTTTTTCGCAGAAAAAGCTGAAATTTACATTCTATTTTGAAAATGAAAATTGAAATTTAATGCTAAAACGTGAACGGAAAACTATTCCTTCATTTCATTTCTGACACCGTGCGCACAGATGGCGCGGGGCAGGCGTCCCAGTCACCGAATGCGCACGCAGTTCAAGACATGATCGCTGCTGCAACAGGTAAAAATTTAATTTACTAATTTTTAATATTTTTATTATTTCAGACGTCCTTTGTGTTGTTGCATTGCTGGACCTTGCTTATTTTATTCACATTATTATAATTGAGAACCATTTTAAGATGAACTAGAAATTTAACTCGGAATTTTCTTCGACAACTTCAATCGTGACGACTAATTTTAATGACTTTCATTTCCATCGTCATTTCCGTCGTAAGGACTTTCATTTCCGTCCACTTAAAATTTGCTCGATGTGTAACTGGAATTTTTTTCAATGAATATACTTCGGATACACCTTTACGCTGAACTATTTCCACTATAACTACTTGCGGACATTGATTTTTATTATTGATGTCTATTCTAACGATGGCGCTTTACGAAAATATATTTCGACCATTCATTCTGTGATATTTTCTGCATTTTTACATGATTTCCTTCACCAGCAAATTTTCACCTTCGACTTTGTTTCTATTTCAAGATTTCAGTTTGTGAATCAGTTACAGCCCACGCTGTATATGCATAAAATGTGCCTATGCGTATATACAGCCTACACTGTATATACGCATATGCGTTGTGTACATACGCATGCATGAAACGGTTGTACATCTACGCACATGCATGGCGTATGTGCATATATACATATACGTAGAGTGTGTGCATTTACGTAGCATGTTTGCATGTACTTCATGCATGTACGTCGCGTGTATATATGCAAGCATATGCATAGCGTGTGTACACATGCGCATATGCGTAACGTGTGTACACATGCGCATATGCATAGCGTGTGTACACATGCGCATATGCATAGCGTGTGTACACATGCGCATATGCATAGCGTGTGTACACATGCGCATATACATAGCCTGTGTACACATGCGCATATGCATAGCGTGTACACATGCGCATATGCATAGCGTGTACGCATGCCCATATGCATAGCGTGTGTACACATGCTCATATACGACGTGCGTCTGCACACACACAGCGTGTGCGCAAATCCGCATGTACGTGGCGCATGTGGTGGCAGTGAGATGATGAGTAATTAAGCATCGCAATTAGAGTTGCGTTGGTTAAAATTTCAAAAGTAGTGAACAACATTACGCTGACGTGGCCGGCTAATTTTTAAGCAATCGTCCAGATAATTCCAGAATGACCATATTTATTTTGTATAGTTCACGTCAAGTTTGAGCCAATTCGAAAGTCCATCGCAAAATCCTCGTAAATTTTATGAGAGTTTATTTAGTGAAAAAGTTCCCCCGTTACATAATATGCGTGGCTCAGTGGCTTAGGTCACAATAACAGCGTCAGGATCCAATATTTTTCTTGAAGTTTCCAGTCAAATTTCGGCTGAATAATTTTTCTCGATGCAACCTGATCGATGAAAGGCCGAATTTCCTTGACGTACGTAGAATAAATGAATATCCTTCGCCAAAAGTCGTTGCCTGTGCAATTTTTTAAGATTTTTTAGCGTAGTTGGGTCACAATGACGCGAAATGGTAGTGTTTGTACCTAACTATTATTTAAATGAATTAAAGCGGAAGGAGATTGAGTAAACAAAACTTGTAGGAAAAGAGCTGAACAAACTTTCGTAGTAGGACTGAAATTCACTTAAAATGCTAATTTAATTTGAAAAAAATCTAGAAATAAATTCACTTTTGTTCTTTCAGTCGAAGGCGAAACTTTCGTCTGAAAACAGCACATGCAGATTTAAGACCAGTCTCTTGGTGCTGTAGGGTTCATCTTTTTTCATAATCTGGCTGAAGAGATCGGCTAAAGTCCAGCATTCGAAAATTATTTGAACTGCTGTAGTATTGCTCGCTGATGTACTACTGGTTTATCGGTCGTTAAGTGAACATTAGGTTTTGCTTATTTATTTAATGTTAAAATATATGACGAGTGTGTGGTTATAACCACTCCTAAATGGTTATTAAAAATGATTTGTGATAATCGTGAATAAATGGTTTTGGAGACTTTAGGCATTTATTTTAATATTAGGAACTTAACTGAGAGAGACTGGAATCAATAATATATTATGAAAACCATGTTTGTCACTGGCAAAGCCAAAGGAACTGGATTTGGCATATCAACTCTAACAAATCGAATGATGGAATTATGAAGTAGCGCTTTAGAAGCTCTCCACGAGTGTTGGAGAAGGACTAAAAATCGTGATTAAGCGTTCTACAAGATACAAAGTTATAATGTCAGATTTTTTTAACTTCATTACGAAATTTTAATCATATGCATAATGATGGAGCTCCGTCTCGAAAAATTTTGATTGGTAAGAAAAATAGTAAATTTCCTATATAGTTTTTCTTTCAAATTCGAACTTAACGACTTTGGCTCCTTGTACAATGCATTATTTTTTATTTATATATCTTGCTTCTAAGCTCTGGATATAAACTGCTCCGCTATTCTAACCCAAATTTTATTATTTACTATTAAATCTGCGGCTAATCGCATTAACTTGTTTCTGGAGATCTTAAGTTCATTTGTGAGGGATCCGAGCGACCCGTCTGTCTCACTGTCGGATTATAGTCTGAAATCTTCTTAGGTTTTGTTGAGGATTCGATTGAATAATAACTTTTTGAACTCGTTAAAAGAAAAGAATACACGGAATAACTGTTGTGATTTGCGCTAGACAGAGAAAACCTTCTAAATTTCTACGGGTTCTAATAGCCATATTTCCAGAAAACAATATTTTTCATGTACTAGGTTGTATTTCCCTCATTTTTCTCTCTTAGTCTCTACAAGGATTTATGAAGCGTTTTCATTACTTTCCAATTGGCCATGAGAAATGATAAAATATTTCCGAAAAAATAATAGATAATACTTAATTTTATACTCATCTTCTCAGTTAATTCTAACTTCTATCGAGATAATCTTAACAGGAAAATTTTAATTTTCAATTGTTGAGGCATTTGAATAAACAATATTCTATTTTAATCGTTTTTGGCAGAAAACTATACATACTATTATTCAAGGGAAGAGAAGCAATGTTTTACATTTAAATTTTAAACGCACTACTCGTATAATACAACAATACAAACACCATATTAAAACTCATCACAGCTAAGAGGACAATTTTGCAATGATAATAAGTAATACACAGAATTTCCTCCTTTCAAATGCACCCAGGTCACCACAGAAGTCACCACGCTGAAGGGCACAAGGGGAAGAAAGGTGGTGACAAGAAGCACAAGTCAGGGTATGTGAAGGGGCACGACTACAAGGACAAGAAAGGCTACCATCAAGACGACCATTTCGACAAACACTCGTTCGGCAACTACGCTAAAGGCCATCACTCGGTGAGCTGTGGTAGCTGCTTGAAAAATCCGGGGGGTATTGCATCATATAAATAAATATTGTTTCGGTAAAATATTAGTTTGGAAATTTCCATTTAAAATGTGCATGCGATGTGTATTATAAATGATATAAATTTTGATATTTTTCAACTATACATATCGGTTAGAATAAATTACTGAAATATGCTAATAATTTCATCTCATTCAATAACTATTAAATCTTGCTTGAAGATTAGTAATTAACTAATTAATTGTAATAGAGGGAATTTTGATGGTTCCTAAAAGGTTCACATCATTGAGATAAATATCTATATAAATTTAGAAAATAACCTACAAAATAATTCAATCTGAATTTGGGTAAATTCGAATATATTTAAATGCTATTTGCAAATTTAAATATCGGGTTATAGCATCTTAAAAAATAAATATACAATAACAAATTTGTATGTAGGTTCATCTTTATGTGGCATTATTTGAAAGGAATGAGCAGTTGATAGCAAAAATTAAATTTATACACCTTATTGTAGAGAGTAAATTTTGAAAATTTAAAACGAACATTTTGAAGGCGCATTTTGCTGTGAATAAATCTGGTAACTCCTATGCAAATAAAAATGATTTAATTACTTAGTTGTTGTTAACCAATTCGATAAATTTCATTAGTTCATTAACCTGTATTGAAAATCTATTTACTTGGGAATATTTCCTAAAGCCACTGGTTATATCAAAGCTTATATATAATTATATTTAATTATATTTTATATAATTATATTTTATATTATATTTTATATATTTATATAAATATAATTATATTTATATAATTATAATTATATCAACGAAGCTTTAACTTTACTCGGCAGGAGTTCAGAACGTCGTCGAAGAGCTGGCCGAAATATTGACTGTAGCGGAATATAATTCATGTTATCGTTGAATAATTGCTTAAATTCTTATATTATTTAATTATAACTGGGGCAGGAAAAAACCAGTTTCATTATCCTATTTAAAATTTTGTTTTTCTTTTTCATTTTTTTCGCTTGAAATTCAAAGCAACGTTTTCAAAGGAAATGTTCTATTGGCTATGTTTGTGTAACAAGTCCGGATTCTAGACGGACACTTATCATTGGACTCGTCTGAATTTTTATTTTTCAGAGAATAGATCGTACCTAAAAAAATAAGCGTCCTATAAATACTCGAATTTTTATACGAAATTGGATATGCCTTCGAATTCGAATATGGAAATGTGTAACTCAGTAGATTTGCTTATAAATAAGTGGTTTAAAAAAGCATGAATTTTCGGTTTCATTATCGCATGAAATAAATGCTATTTCAGCTAAAAATTTTAAAAATACATTAAAAATAACCTCATTTTTTTCCTTGTTTGTCTCTGATTAATATATTATTTCCCGTAAGCGATTGATGAAAAATTAAGTAGATTGTTCCCATTTGGACACACATTCCAGCCATTTTCGTTGTATCTCGACTGGAAAGAGAAGAATAAAACCATCTTTCAACTGCCAATCCCACCTGATAATTCATGTTCCACCTCCAGAAACACAAAGAAGGTGGAGGTAAAGGTTATAAAGGATCAGAACACAAACAAAAACATAAAGGTGGTTTCAAAAAAGGAGACGAAGGTGCCAAAGGGAAGAAGGTTGGCCACAAGGGAAAGTTCCACAAAGGACATCATGACAAGGTAATCTGTGAAAGTTTTCCATCAAAGTTAGCACCACAATATTGTTACCAGTCGAGTGTTGATTCTAATATCTGATATCATATTCAACAATTTATTCTTTCTTGTACAGCCTTAATATTATTTTAGTAGTTTAAGGTATAAAAATCGCATCATTCACTGTTTTTTTTGTTGATATTCATCTCCGAACATGGAATATAATAATTTTTAGTTTAAATTTAATTGAAATCGTTTCTTAATTGTTTTATTGTATTTCAGGGCTTCAAAAATACCGAGGACCACGACGCTCACGGCCACAAACACGACGATAGCCATAAAATGATTAAAAACAAATACGGGAGCTCATACGAAGAAGAGGAAGGATACTACAAGAAAGGCAAAGGAAAGAAGCACGAGGGGGGAAAATTTGCAGTAAGTATTTGCATAATACCACGGAAATTGGAAAAGGCATATTTTGCTCTGGGAAACCAGCATGCTTTAGAATTATTAAAACTACATTGAATTTCCGCTAATTTTTTCAAATTCACTTAATTGAACACATGATAAATGGGGATAGAGAGCCATTTCAATCATTTATTATGGAAATTTCAATCAGATTTTATTGCACTAATTCAAATAATACCCATTATCCTAAAAAATGTTTTGTTCTATTCCGAGTGAAATTAGAGGATTTATATTACCTACTTCATTGAATTGCAATAAAGTCTTATGTGATTTATCAGCATAATTAACCTTTGGTCCAGATGAAATGCTTAATTTTTAACAGGGAGGCAAGACATGGGACCACAAAGGAGGAGATTCATTCAGCATCAAAGGAAAATATCACGAAGATTACTCCGATATTAAAGGCAAGTTCGGCTATGACGGCGAAGAGCATCACGCCCATAAGAAAGGGGCTAAAGGCGGTCACAAGAAAGGCAAGAGCCACAAAAAAGGAGATGACCATAAAGGACATCACAGTCATTACGCTCCCGTTAAAACATCTATTTCCGAATCCAGTTCCGTTAATCGACAAGGTATCGCTTACGACGGTTCTTTTTTAAGCCCCAAAACTGCACATTCTTCTCATGAAGTAATAAAAAAAGTTCCAGAGGGAGCTCATTCTACTTCAGAACATAATATCCAACCCAGGCAATATCAAACTGATCCTCGCCGCCCCCCTCACTCTAAACGCCCACCTTTGTACCGTAACGAACAGCATCCTCATCAGCAACAATCCCACCAACATCCTAGAGAGCAAACGTACAATGGTAGGCCCCTCCATCCACATCAGAGACCCACGGGTTATTCGAATTCTCATTACCGTGAACCAAGTCAGGGAGACGTAATTATTCATGGATCATCACCAAATGAAGCGCATAAAAATCAAGACTATCGAGTGTCACCGCCTCAAATTCTTCCCAAGCAAAATCAAAATCTTCCTCAGAATCAATTTCTAAATCCAAACGGAGGCAATACTCATCATAACCCTCATCGTAACCCTCATCGTAACCCTCATCATAACCCTCCTCATCTAAGAAATCCCCATATTAAACTTCATCATCATTCTGTATCACCCAATGTTCAGCCATTCGGAAACCCCAAACAACGACCTCATCCAAATGCCATCCCGGGAGGCCAGAAGCCCAGATTTAGGCAGAAGCCAAACCACCATGGCCAAGGGCCTCCTCGCAGTCCAACCAAAGACAATAAATCTACTCACAGCATTCACAGTGTTCCACTGCATGCACCTCACGGTTCATCCGGTTCTGCCTTACGAACTCATTCCCAGAGTATTCCCCGACCGCAACATTCACAACATCATCCTCAACAAAACTCAAATCATTTCAGTCAACCTGAAGTTCATGTAACTGAAAACGGAGAACCACAAAGTGAAGATGTCCCTCACGAGCAGGAATATCCCCCACAACGAGGTTTTAGACGTCGTCGGCCTAGAAAGTACAAGAAACCTGTTTACGGGAATGAAGTGCAAGACGAAGATTTGCGAGAACAAAATCCAGATAACCATGGCCTCCTCCAAGGTACACATTCTGACCATCAAAACGTGGAATCCGAAAGCCCGCAGCCGAATGGCTACCATCCACGTGGAAAGGTTTCCACCAAGTTTGAAGAACAGCGAGACAGTAAAAGAGAAAATCAAGTAAGAGATAACCATGCTCCTTATGACGAATCCAAACGCTCGAGACCTAATAGATACAGAAATAAAAGACCTAACGGCTCACCACGCAAACGAAGACCACCCCCGCCACCTCCCCAAGAAAACCAAGAAGAATATTCTGACCAAAAATACGAGCCTCACCAGAGCGCAGAAGGACACGACGAAAGTGCTAGAGATCCGGACGACGAAAGTCACGACGAACCACCCACTCGTGAAGGGTCGTACGCCCACTCTACTCAAAATGAAGAGCCCCCGGAAGAACAGAATACGAGCTACCACCATGAAATTGAGGACCCTGAAGACGAAAGTGAAGTGCAGAGACCCCTTCGGCATCAATCGCAAAAATCATACCGACGAGATCGACCACGACTCCAAGAATCAGAGACTCAGGAAGCAGAAGAAGAAGAGGAAGAAGAAGAATCTCCCACCCAAGAAAGAGACACAGAGCAATCAGAACACATACGGCAGCAAGGAGAAGACCAGCCATCGAAAAATGTTAAATCAAAACCTAACAAACATCCAAGTGGCGGAGCACCTAAAAAACAGCTAACAGGATTTTATTACCCAAATTTAGGTCATCCAGTTGGTTTTAACAACTTCGCCGTTGGCGCATCGAACGCACCAGTAGCTGGTGCTCAGCAGAAACTCGAACCTTCTGCAACAGGTTATAGTCTCGGGCATACTCCTTTCACCTTCGACAGTTTTGGAGATTTCGGAAAATTTTTAGGATAATTAATTCATTGACATTCTTGTAGAGATTAGAAATACACGCATACTTTTGAGTTCCCAGGCATCTTTCCGGTTTTTCGATTCGTACCAAAAATAAATGGTTCATAACATTAGTCATTTGTTTGGCATAATATAAAATACCACTAGGTACGAAAAACAGCGAGACAGTGAAAGAGAAAATCGAGTAAGAGATAACCATGCTACTTAAGTGAATGACTAACATTAAACTACGACATTATTGCAACCAAAGCAATGATCTCGACAGATGTTTTTCATGTGTTTCACCATACTCAGCGACTATTTTGAATCTCCATCTGCTTCAAAATACTTTATTTCAGTTGATGTTCATCAGAATTGGATATTTCTTGCAATATTTTTACTATTAAAATGGCCTCCAATCGACAGTGTTTCTGAAATGATAAAAAGAAAGCAATGAAATGCATTCTTGAAATAATGAAGTGTTCCGGTCACAGTTTTTTTTAAAGTGTGTAGTTTATATATTGCATTAGAGTTTGTTATGTATTTTTGTGTATTATTAATATCTTAATTATTTTATATATAGCATCAATAAAAGTCATAGAGTGATCGGAAACCTGTCTTCATTTCCCTCTTCATGTTGAGAATTTTTTAGAATTTTTCGGGGTGTTAACGTCGACATGCCATGCATAATTGAGTGCACATGAGATCAGGCATTGTTGACAAAAGTTTCACATTTAAAATGAATGGTCGTGAGTTAAATGAAGAACTAAATTTTCTGCTATACGTGTTGGTATTAGTACCAACTATACTTCTATGTTCTACTACTAGTATGTACTACTATAAATCAAAGTCTGTACTTGGATATGTACCCGCCTAATTAATTTGACCGATGTATTCCTACGACAATGACTATTACATCCAGTGACTGTACTAGTAGAAGTAGAGTGACTGGTGCATCTAGTGTCTGGTACATCTAGTGACTGTACTAGTACAGTGACAGGTACATCTAGTGACTGTACTAGCACAGTGACAGGTACATCTAGTGACTGGTACATCTAGTGACTGTACTAGTACATTGACTGGTACATCTAGTGTCCGGTATATCTAGTGACTGCACTAGTACAGTGTCTGGTAGCTCTAGTGACTACTAGTGCAGTGACTGGCACATCTACTGACTGGTTGGTACATCTAGTGAGTGTACTAGTACAGTGTCTGGTACATCTAGTGACTGCACTAGTACAGTGTCTGGTACATCTAGTGACTGTACTAGTACAGTGTCTGGTACATCTAGATAATACTACTAGTACAGTGTCTGGTACATCTAGTGAATACTACTAGTACAGTAACTGGTACATCTAGTGTCTGTACTAGTACAGTGTCTGGTAGCTCAAGTGGCCTAGTGACTGTACTAGTACATTGTCTGGTAGCTCTAGTGACTGTACTAGTACAGTGTCTGGTACAGCTAGTGACTGTATAATACAGTGACTAGTACATCACTGCCACTGTCCGAGGTACCAAACTGGGGCTGTCATGTTAAAGCTACGTGCCCTATCATAGAGATGTGCCTCCTCCTAATGAAGACGAGACGTCTTCAACAATGAAGACGAGACGTCCTCATGACACATAAACTGTTAACTCAACGTCCCAGTGACCTACTGAACTCAAAGCAAATGAGGTCAGATAATAAACATATGAGGATGACCACACCCTAGGCGTTTATAGTCTCTATGTTTGTTGGTCTGTGATCCGTTGATATTTATTTGCAACCACAAGCTACTCACCGACTTGAGTTATTCTCAAATTAAAATTCATAATCTATAGTGTCTGTTAGCTCTTGTTTAAGAGGTGTTTTGACCATCACTCTGTCGAGTTATACTAGTCCATCATCAGTCAGCATCAGTCCATCTCTGCATTCCAGGCACTATTAAAAAAGTACATATTTAAGGCACTATTTGTTTCCCAAATATTTTGGGAAGTTTTTCCTATACGCTCGGCGAGCATATCTTGCATACATTCTCCTATTGGCATCCGTAATCTTTAAAAGTATTAAACCGCTATCTTGCGCCAGGCAGTATTCTGGTCATCCGATCTGTTTGATTTTGTTAAACGCAGTACAGAGAACAGTGAGAATTCGTTACTAAAGTTTGAATCAAATTAAACGATCAAGCAGACGATCAGCCATCAAAAGCATTTTGGCCGAGCACCACATGCATCCAGCTCCGTACTCGTGTAACTCTCGGATTGACCGGACGCTGAGAGAGTGCACATATAGCCGTTAATATTAACATTCCTTCACATGATATTTCCTCCTAATTTTTTTTCGTGTGAATCCATCACCTGTTATTTGCAAGCCTCCCACGCTAAGCCCTTGTCTTCCTCTGTTGTTTGATCTCTTAGGCGAGAAGAAGCGGAAAGTTTACTAAATAATGCCAATGATGTAGTAAACTTATATGAACATTTTAAAATACATGGCATTCGTTTAAAACAATGTTATAACTAATCCTAAATTTTTTCTAATTTTTCAGGACATCAAAGTGTCTTACAGTGCTAAAAACTTGTAACCCATAATTTTATATACATTTAGGAGACCAGTAATTTCTTTGTATTTTCTATTTATTTTGTTACACCATGAAAAGAATTGAGCTTCATTGCGGAACCCCGAATGAATAGAAATAATGCTTAAATACTCACGTCATGCACTCACGCTAATTTATTCAACATCAGACCATGTACACAAGTCATATCTTCCTTTTAAAATATTGCAATTTTTAAACCTGAGTTGAATTTTCAAAGTCCAAAGCTCTACTCGGATAGTATTCGGCTTCATCGGTACATTTTATTTGTTGAAGTCTGATATTATAAATAATTTCGCTCAGCTGGCGTAATCTATTTAACATAGTATGAGAATTGCCTAAGTTTCCAATACAAACAACTTCAGGCTAAAGTATTTACGGAATTTTTAACAAGTTTGCATTACTATGAAACCCGTCTAAATGACCTGAGATTAAATGATTCATTCAATACAATATTTTGTCGTGCACCGAAATGCCTCATGTAAAATCGTCTCAATTAAATCTATGCTTTAAAAGATAAAAATTATTATAAGCATTTATATTTTATCTTCGAAAAACACTTATTAGCGCATTTACTCATTTATGAAAAAATGCACTATTGTGCTCGCCATGTCCTTCTGTCTGTCTGTCTGTCTGTCTGTCCGTCCGTCCGTGACCTCAAGTTTTCGTCGACGAGAAAATGCGCTCTCTGTCACTCACTGCAGTGAGTACTGAGTTATATTTTATTTACTTACTATTTAACGGTGCATGACATTTGATTGAAATTTATTGACTAATGTTACGACCTTTTGTGAAAGTTTGTTTTGATGCTAAGTGTGTACTGAATCTCCATGCAGAGTGTTAATGGATCTTAATTCCAGTCCATCTTCCATTTTTATTTTAAATTTTATTTCGATGAAAAATTTCTTTTTTTAATACGAAATAACTCATGCCCTATTCATCGCTTATTTTCAATTCTCGATCGATCAAACATTGACTACTGGCAAGTTTCCAACAGTAATAAAAAGTGTTATGTTAAAACTAATTTTCTGGATTATTCTGGCTGACAGTGAAAAAATAAAATGCAATAAGTATGATATAGAGGGAATACTTTATTTCAGTAGAATTTTGAACGTCCCATGGATCCAGATATACATAGAATTAGTCAACAGTTCCTTAAAATTTAAAACAAGGCAATTTAGGAACTTAAACCCGAAGCAAAAAAAAGGCAGAACAGCAATAAATTGTAAACTATTAATTAGCGAAATATTTAGCAGCCATCATCATCATCATCATCTGTATATAATAAATGCAATTTGAAGTAATCATATTTTAAATGGAAAGGGACAATAACAATTACGGGCATTATGGATAAGGAGAATGTTTCTAGGAACACTCATGCGTTCTTAGACTTATGGCTTTTACGAATATTATATTAAGCAATCGTAACTATTGATACAATCTCAAACATCATTCAAGATCAACTGTTGATGAACAAAAAGAACAAAATCTAAATATTTAAAAAAAACTTGAAATAAGTAGCAAACAAAATAATATCTGAGCGAACTTTGAGAAAACATAATATATGGTCTATACAGAAGAATAATGTCCGAATAATTTCTCTAGATCTAATCAATCTGGTCTAATTGCGATATAATAAACGAACAATTTATTAAATCACGATCTGCAGAGAGACGCATAGTACATTTTGATTATTGATAGTGACTTAAAATGGCCATTGACTTCACTTTTCTAGTCGGTAATCGGTATCATTCGACGAGCGTTCGTTCACGTATTGGTCGAAATAAAGCTTAACAGAACTCCTATATCAACCATCGTATCATCAAACTCGAAATTACACCGAAACCGCAAAAAAATAAGTTAAAATACAAATATAGTCCGGAAAATAAACCGAGCAAGAAATACCTGCCTACTTTTTTACCTGGAAGAACTTCCCGCAAAATTAGGCGGAGCAAAGTCCCCGAAGGTGTCGAAGCTCGGAATAGTTCCCGGTCCAACTTTTGTGAAACCAGGATTTGATTCATCGGGCTGTCTTCGGTCATCATGGACTGGACCGGATGATAACGGTCCAGCAAAGGGACCGAATGACGGACGGAAGGGATCATCAGAGTCATAAATACTCTTATGTGCCGATGGTGAATGGGATCCTCCATCATCATCGTGGGGTGGATCAGGACGATCATACAGAGATTCGCCATGACTTCCATAAATTACAGATTCTGATCTCGGAGGTGATCTTCCCGAGTCTCTAGCATCATCATCGCCTTGTGGATGACGGCTATCATGTACATCTTCGTCGTGCGGCGAATTACTACCATCGACATCATCATCATCATCTTGAATTCGGTGTTCCTCGGCTTCTGGATTAGGAGGTCGTTTACCTTGGTTGGATCTGCCTCTAAAACCTCCAGGTCTTCTCTTCCCAAGATACTTTTTCGGTGGATGAGAAGGTCGTCTGCGCTTGGGCGGACGGTGAGGCTGTTGTGATGAACTAGGATACCTTTCACGGGAATGTCTCTCATCATCATCGCCCATCTCATATCTTCCTGGGGAATCTGCGAGTCTTCCTGTGGAATCCTCGTGTCTACCCGTGGCAGAAGCATATGGATAATAAACCATTTGCTCCGAAGGAGATGACCCAGATCCATAAGGAGCCGCATTCTGGAAAGCTGGAGGCGGAGCAGGACGAAGGTCTGGAGCAGGGACCACAAACAGAGCTGATGGATCGTGAGGAACGTCCTCCGGAGTGACGTGGACTGGAGAAATTTCCGAGTGATGTCCTTTATGGTCATCTCCTGAGAGTTGAAATCGAAGAATCAAAATTCTGTTTTGAAACAACTTGATGTGCGTATATGACTAATTTTCAAAACGATTCTTTAAGTTCACACAATATTTTTTCAGTCAATAACAAGCGTTCAGAAAAAATAAAATATAGATCTAGACACAAAATTATAATTGAAAATAATATATTCACAAATAAAAATCTGAATAACATTTGATCGAACCTTTTCACTACCTAAAACACACCACGTCTACTCCAAGAAGAAAGCTGGGCAAGAAGAGGAAGAAGAAATGAAGGAAGCTACATCAAGGTGCGTAAAGACGACAGGAGCAGTCCAATAGCATTGAAGACTCTGTCAAAAAATAGTGCAGTTTACCACGAAATTAAATGAAAATTAAATCCAGAAATACAAAAAAGAATAGGAAAGTGTCACTAGCCACTTCTTGGCCGAAGTTTTAGGTAATCTAGGGGCAGGCAACATAAATAAACTGTAAAAATATGGTGCATATGCATTCTCTGTGTGCAAATTAAACTAAGTTTGGAAACTAGGTTCTCAAAAGTAATTGAAAATTATTCGTTCATATACCAAATAATATTAGCAGAAAATTATTAATAGATACTCATGAACATGCTGGTCTCCAAAATGTTTTCAATAAAGATAAAGTTGATTAAATTTGACTTTTCTTTGTTTGTTTATTTATTTGGGATTTAAGATAACTAATTTCATAAATACTTTGATGCAAGCAGTTTTGAATGAGAGCAAAAAAAGCTGTCGGTGTCGTCATGTGCGAGGCGAAACATTTTGTGCAAGCTTGACTGGACCCAAAATGTGTTCACTGGAAGATGGCCATGCTCTACTGTTACTTAACACCTTACCTTTGTGATCCCAGCCTTTGTGTTTCCAACCTTTATGATCATCATGGCCTTTGTGATCATCCTGTCCTTTGTGATCCCAGCCTTTGTGTTTCCAACCTTTATGATCATCGTGGCCTTTGTGATCATTGTGTCCTTTATGATCCCAGCCTTTGTGTTCCCAACCTTTATGATCATCGTGGCCTTTGTGATCATCGTGTCCTTTGTGATCCCAGCCTTTGTGTTTCCAACCTTTATGATCGTCGTGGCCTTTGTGGTCATCGTGGCCCTTGTGATCATCGTGGCCTTTGTGATCCCCTTTACCCTTTTCAACTCCCTTGTGCACTTTCTCGCCCCAACTTTTTTTCGTTTTATGACTTTTGCGTTTCCAACTTTTATGGAAATCGTGTTTCTTTTTATCCCAGCCTTTGTGATCATCATGATCTTTATGATCATCTTCATGATGATCGTCATGGTGATCATCTTTATGATCATCGTCATGGTGATCATCTTTATGATGGTCATCATGATGGTCGTCATGGTGATCGTCTTTCTTATGATCATCATGATGGTCGTCATGATGATCATCTTTATGATGGTCGTCGTCATGATGATCGTCTTTATGATGATCATCGTGATCATCAGACTTCTTCTCCCAGCCATGATGGTCATGATCTTTATGATGGTGATCCCAACCCTTATGATCTTCATGATCCCATCCTTTATGATCTTCATGATCCCAGCCTTTGTGATCATCATGCCAGTCATGATCATCGTGATCATCATGCCAATGATCATCATGATCATTCTTATGTTTGGCTTTCTTACTATGAGATTTCTTATGCTTGTCGAACTTTTTCTTGTCATATTTCTTGCTGTGGTCGCTCTTGTGGTCGTGGTGCATGGACTTCTTCAGGTCGCTCTTCTTGCCGTGTTCGTCTTTGAACTTCTTTCCCTGAAGCACAAAAAGTTCACAACAATGAACAACGTGCAATGATGTATTATAATTTGCTTACATTATGTTTTATGGCACAATAATCTGTTATGATATGCTGAATTATTAAGTATAACAAGAACAATGATCTAGTATAATATGATTAAAATATTTAGCATAGCAATCATAATAATCTATTATATAATATGCTGAATTATTAAGTATAACAAGAATAATCTATATAATGCGCTGAATTATTAAGTATAACAAGAACAATGATCTTGATTAATATGCCTAAAATATTTATCATAGCAATCATAATAATCTATTATAATATACTGACTTATTAAGTATAACAAGAAAAATGATCTAGTTTATATGCCTAAAATATTTAGCTTAGCAATCACAATAATCTATTATAATATGCTGAATTATTATGTATAGCAAGGACAATGATACATTATTATATGCTAAAAATATTACATCCAGCAAAAGTTTCATTATTGTTTCTACGTGAGTTATCATATTCCTCATTACTATGGTTAACTAAAATAAATTTCTCAGAAAAATATATCATTTACTGCATTCAATTAATACTTTTTATACAATGGAAGTTTACTGGCTAGTGACACCCAAGAATAGCGAAATTCTTAATTCAAAATTATGAGGAGTGATTATAAACTGTCAAATTCTCAAGTAAGCAACGTCAACGAACGTATAAATAAATATCAATAATTAAGGAATTTCTCAGCAATCAATAGATTTTAAAAAATCCGGCAAAATTCAAGCTGGAAAACTGTCAAGTGTCTTCATATAACAGAATGGAAATTTAAACATGTATCACAGTGTCAACTGACTGAATGAAAAAATCAGCTAAAAATTCCATTAAAATATATTATTGAGGGATTTCAAGCTATAATTAATAAGCTCTTTGATGTCACTGAAAGATAAATTTCTAGGTAGCAGACATTTCACAGAATTGCAAATGTAAGAGAGGAAATACAGAGCCTCATTTGCTGTAAAAAGGATAATTAATTATAGGTTGGATCGTTTTGGAAATTTTAGAAAGAGTTTCACAATATATTTTGAAATGAACTAATTGCTGATGAAAAATATCTTCAAAAACGAGGTACGGTGGACAGGAATAGATCCCTGCAAGGGTTTTTTAGACTCGAGCGAATGCTGTAACCACAGCAGCTAAGGCCTACATTGATAACGAGTGTAAAAACAATCTAGGACAACATGTATATTTTTACCTTCGTTGATTAATGAATAAATTATTAAATGTCACGTGCGCTACAATTTGGATTGGATTAAGTCGAACTCAAAAATGTTACGACAAATAGAAATGCTGGTCACTGTTAAATTTTAACAAAATATAAACAAAAACGGATCAAAGTTCACAAAACATGAATTGTAAGTTGAGAGAAATGTGTAGGCGAACGTCTTTAACGTTTGTTCTCGAAAATTAATATAATGTGTCGTAAATTATTTAATATCATTTAATACGAAAATAAATATCATGTAAAATAAAATAATTAATACGGAAATAAAATATCATGTGGAACACATTATTAAATGAAAACCAATGTTAGAGTGTTATTTAAAGGGCGTTGGAATACAGCAAATTTGGCGCAGAATAAAAATCGAAGCTCCGTTAAAAATGATATATACGAAAACCTGGAAAAAAATTATATCTTTAGAGAAATACATTGAGTTAGAATGAAAGTTGGAATATCTGGAACAAATATGTTGTTATAACTTTCAAAAATTTTAAATATGACACGCTGCGAAAAAAAGCATACTGCGAAAACCGAATTCGTTGTATTAGTCGCTCTGTACATTACGTTAGCGAACGGGGATGACCGTAGCCGACGGCTGGAAGATGTCTCACCGATGTTACGATTTCTAGAGTTGAAGTTATTAAATAAATAACTTGAAATTACTTGATTTGAAGCTATTTCCATGTCTCTCCGCCATTTCTTATCTTGCTTTGGTTTCCTATGTCCATGCATTTGATATTTTATTGAAGTTGTATCTGCACGTTCTAAAGTGTTTACTGCTTTGCGTTTGTTTGCTTTTATGTCTGCACGGCTTCTTGATTTGATTTCTTTAGTTCTTGATGAATATCTACGAGCAAGTTTCTTTCCTGAAGTGTTTTGAGATGTCTTTACTTTTTTCGTTTGTTTTCCTCGTTTATCATCATATTTTTTCTCATTAATCGAGTTTCTTTTCGATCGAGGACGTCCTTGTCTATTTCTTGTTGAACTATTTTGACGATCAATCTCTCCCTTATTGCGAGTTCTTCTTCTAATACTTTTTGATTCCGATATTTTTTCTGTCTTTTTTGCTGCGTAACTGATGGGCTGATTTTTTCGTTTGGATTTTTGTTCTGCTCGAGGAGCCTTTCTTGGACGCTGTGAACCTGCTTTCACTTTCATTTTCGACTGAAAATCTTTATTCTTTAGCGTATTCTTAGTAAAAGACTTGCTGTTTCCCCAACGGTTATTTTGTTTACAATTTGAATTCACATTGCCATGGCATCCTTTCTTGGGCTCCTTCAACTTTAATTGACTTTGTTTCACCAATGAAAAATGCTTTCTGATCCTATCCCTGTGCTCTGCGGCTGTCATGGGCCGACATTTTTTACTTCTGCCCCGAGTGCGGCAAACAAATTCACCCTTAGCAGTTAATTTTCTAAGATGTCTTCTCTTCCCCTCTTTGGATTTTCTGAGACCTGATCGAGCACGTTTTTTATTTTTAGAAGATGATTTAACCACCATTGATAATATAGCCGATACGTTGCCACTCTTCTTCGTTATTTTAAGCTTCTTCAGGTGTGAAGATTTTAATTCATTATTTTGGGATTTTGAAGACTTAGGTCGTCTCTCCTTGGAGTGGACTGACCTCAATTTTTTCTTTGCCAATAATAGCTGGTGCTTCTTATTCTGGGCATTGGCGAGGTGCTGCTTGTATTTCTCCGATCTTATTGTGATGGAATTTTTATTTCGAGCACTTGAAGATCTGGTCTTGTCTTTCAAAGCCTTAGCAGACTTTGCATTTCGTTGTCTCGACGAGCGACTCGAAGCTAATAACTTTTTCTGATTTTTCGCCTTGGTTCGAGTAACTAGGGGTCTTGGCTTCACGGGTTCCGATCTCCCCTTCTTGAATTTTTCAATATTCCTTTTAGATCTCAGTTTATCCAATTTCTTCTCTTTTGACTTCATTCCGCTTCTCTTTCTGGATGTTTTTGTAAATTTCCCTGAGGAATTTCTCCTCCTGCTTTTAATGTTCTTCTTAAAAACTGATTTTCCCGTTACTATTCTCTTCGAGACCACGCTTTTTACAGTCGAATTTTGCAGATTTCTTTTGTGTGAAGCTTTCGCTGGTTCAACAACTGCTTTTGACTTTTGCTTAGATTTGCCAGTTATTTTCCTACTCGAGTTTGTTCGTGAGCCTTCCTTCAAATAACGAGCTCTCAGATACTTTCTAGATGATTTGCTTCTGGAAATTTTCTTTCGTTTTTCATTTCCCTTTACTTTATCTGTCACTTTTAGTCTATTTTCTCTATGTTTTTTACTGCTTATTTTCGTAGGCAGCGTTTTTCTATTTTCACTTTGTTGCATGGGATTATCTCCCAGTTCTTTTTTTATTAACAGAACCTTTTCTTTCAGTTTTGCAATTTGTCTTTCCAACGCAGCATCGGCGACATGAAACTTCTCAGCTGCTGACTTCAGCCTTGTGTCCTAATTGATTCAATTAAGTAAATAGAATGCAAGGAAATAAAGTTAAAATATTCCTACAAATGATCATAGTACCTAAGCTGAAATACAACCTCCGGATTTCCTAAACGATGGAAAAATGAAAACCTGACAGCCAGCGAAAGATGTTCAGTAATTCCGAATGACACTGATTCAGCGCTCGCCTGCAATCGCCGTGATCATTTGTCGTACAAAAATAAAATTTTATTGTTAATTATCTAATGCTAAGTTTTTGTTCAGTTGCTGTGCTGATTTAGCACCTGCTTATTCATTTAATGAAAAACGGTTCTAGAAGAAAACATCCTCTAGTCTCGACACTGGATGAAAATTGCATTTCATATGAGCCGAGATGAAGGTGAATTCGATGAACTGGTAAAGTCTTACATCAAATTACAGATATTTTCAGAGAGCTTACCTTTGCTTTTTTGCCTTTATAGTCCTTGCCTTTGTCGCCCTTGAAGCTCTTCTTGCCTTTGACTTTCTTATCGTGATGTTTTTCATCTTTGTGGTCATCAAAGAACTTCTTCTTGCGCTTGTATTCCTCCTTGTGGTACACGTTCTTGAAGCCCTGAAAGATAAACAACATACCTACACTGATATACTCCTAGTGACAAGCGTTCACGAAGCCATGGACGGTGAAACACGTATACTGATATAATTCAGCGGGTGGCATGTGATCATCAAGCCGTGGAGAATAAATGATATATTTACTGGTATACTGCTAATGACAAGTGTCCCTGAAACCTAGGAGCAGTGTGAACTCGCTTACTTACTGATACCGCTTAGTGGCTATTTTACACAAGAGATCATGTATATTACATTCTGACTGGTCAAATTTGTAAAGTATGGAAGAATGAGGTTAAAAAAGCAGATTAATATTAAAAGTATTTTAAAATAACTTCTCTTGTGGCTTCAAAACCAAAAACCGCAGCTTAATCATGTTGTGGAAATTTTTATGATTTCCTCTATTAAATATTATTGTTCCTGAAATAATCTTTAACCGTATTTTAGAAGCTACCAAAGACAGACATACCAAAGCTCTATAAAATGTTTGACATTATTTTCCGATGCTATAATGAAACATTTAATGGTATGTTTCATTTATTTTGAAGCAAAGAGTGAAAATTGTGCATAATTTGTTAATTAATTTCAATTGTAGAAATTGAATAATTTACCTTATCCTTGTGTCCCTTCTTGTGGTGCCCCTTCTTGGCGTGCTTGAAGGACTTCTTGCCTTTCTTGGACTTCTTCACAGAGCCGTGATACTTCTTCTTGTGGTCGTCGTGTTTGTATTTCTTGGCCTTCTTGTCGTGATATTTCTGGTAAAAAACACACGGCTTCAGTATATGATACTTCTATATTTATGTTTTATTTACTGATATGAAATTTTTCCTGGTGGTTGATGATGTATTTAGTTTGCCGTTAAATTTTAATGTTGTTCGTAATGAAGGGCAAAGAATATATAAAGTTTATCGTTAATTTTATTACTGTTATAAGGTTTTATGGTTTAAAAGGCAGCGAATCGTAACATTGAGCTCGGAACATTCATCAATGACGTATTTGTGAACAACATCCTAAAATCTTATGGACGAAATACTAATGGCCCATCCATTCGGCAAAATATAAAAAAATTGATAGCGCAAAATAACAAATAAAATGAGCTAACTCAGTTCTGGGTCATTCTGCGTCACCACTAATTTTACCATCTTATTGTTTAGAAATATTTGGTATTCCTAGCTCTCATTTCCATCTTTATTTTAGCACAAATTTTTACATAGTTCAATTTTCAGGTGATCGGAATAGTAATCTCATATCGGACTGACCTTCTTCTGGCCTTTCTTTTCATGTGACTTCTTGCTGGACTTCTTGCCCTTTTTAGAGAGGTGTTTTTTGTGACCCTTCTTCCCTTGTTCGCTCTTCTTACCGGACTTCTTGCTATATGACTTGTGCTTGTGGCCGTGACCGTGCTCTGTGGACGTGTTTGTATACATATTCACATAGAAAGTAAGGTGCTTCAATTTATTCAGAGTTCAAAATTTCGCATATTAATAGTAATAACGTTGATTATTTCGTTAGACGTGTTGGTGGTATTGAACATCGCAGAATTTTCAATGCTTATTGCGGGTACAATGTGGCTGTGCTTAACCAACCGGCTACCTCGCCGATTTCAACAAAAACTGTCAAAGGTTGCTAGGATCGAACCCAGTCAATATCATAGGAGCAAATTCTACGTAATATCAAACGGTTTGAGCGCAGTGACCTGATCTGATAATTTCTCCAACTGAGGTTGGCAGATTCAATATACCAAATTTGGGGAAATGATCATGAGTCTATTATTCTCATAACATTGCCCATAATTTCTCGTACCAAACTTAAAAATTAGCAATTAGACTTAGAAATACTTATATTTCCGTCGTCAAAGGGTAAACCTATTCTTAATTAAAGTAATAGAAAGTATTCTCGGTAAAATAGTTTTCCGTTGGTAATTAATTAAATCTACGGTGCATGTCATTTTGTTATTAAGGTTAACTTTAGACTATCTTTGAGGCAAAATCTTCGCAATTTGCAATGTTGCAATTTATACGGTACTCATTCTTCAATATAAAAAATCGTACAATGGTGCCTATAAACAAATTAATAGGCTGCATTTTGAATAATTGCTTCAAATATTTCGCTAGATTGCTTCGAATATATACTCACTTGATTCTGACACCATCATCGGGTCCGAATAGACCACGGAATATTGCTGTGAAGAAGCCCCCGGCAACATATCGAAATATTCTTGTGTATCACCATCTTGCTTCCTTGATACACCAACATCCTGAAGTCCAAGCCCGACGCCATCTTGATTCGATGTCAACAACTCGTCTTGTTGAAACAGTTTCACATCGCCAATGACAAGCGTTGATTTGAGAAGAATTAGGAGAACGAAGCAAAGAAGTTTATTCTGAAAATAGAAGCGAATTTAATTAAGTCTCTTGTAAAAATTGTGATCTCCAAGATATGAAATATTCGAGAAATTTAGTTGTATTGGGAATCCTGGGAATCCATTATACCGCTGGGCGTCTAACTGAACAATAAAATAAAGATATTACCATGACAGTGCAAACAATAAACAGTAGCGACGCCATGACACCTGGACACCAACCGGCATTAGCCGTTATTTAGCAACACTCGGATGACACAGCGACCGAAAATTTAACTAAATATTTATAATATCTTAACTGCATCAGTTTACATTAGAACTTTTACAGCGATCACTGATTATATTATTTTGACTGACTATTGAACCTTATCAAGCGTGTGGTAAGACGTTGTGCGATTCTTTTCCTCTTTATGTAAATATGAGTTATTTTATTAAGCAAGCACGCAAACTTAACTGTCTTCGAACGTCAAGCACATCACTTTGTGAAATAAAAGATTGTTTTCTCTAAGCAGAGGTCTAAACCTAAGCTACCCAAACGAAATGAGAGAAATATACGAGTATATTCGCTTATAGAAGTCGTCACAATAAATGTAACACGATTTGGCAACAAGAGGCCTTGAATTTGTGACGAGTTGATAGTGAAGTTAGAGTTCACTGCGATGAAGGACAACGACCTTTATTCCATTGCCTTCGATATCAAAAAGTTCATAAGTAATAATAATCACAAATCAGAAAACAGTAAGAAGAACTTTTAAGTTGGTGCCTCGCTGCTAGAACTGTGCAGAGTTACAATGCTTGCATGAGATGAAAAAAACTGTTGCTATCTCGACAGCTGCGAGACCAAAAGATGGCGGCAATATCAGCTTAGAGAATTTATTAGGAATTTTTTTACTTTTTGGCTGTTGTAGGGACAAAAAATCGCCTATAGCAACTTGATAACTAAAGTTTGGAATATGACGAGGGTCTTCTTTTTGGTAACAGTAAAAATTATGTCACACATATGGGATAAAAGGACACATGAAAGAAGAAAACACGTAAACGTGATTATATTAATAAAATGTTATTTGATACAGAATGTTGTTTGAAAATAACTTGTTGTTTAAAAATAGCTTGTTGTTTGAAAATATTTTGTTATATGAAAATATATTTTTGTTTGAACAGATCTTGTTATTTGAAAATAACTAAAAAGCAAAACGTAAGTGAGTTTCGAAAGTGCATATTAATTTTAAAATATGAGTGGTTAACTAGTTCATAACGATGCTCAGCAATAAAACATCGATAAAATAAACTCGAATTACGTAAATTGTATTTGAAAAAGTCCGAATAAACCATAGATAATGACACGCTCAGCCAACTTGAAAAAAATGACTATTCGTAAATACAAATAACTAACACGCCATAAACATACCAAAGTGTTTTAATAAGCAAAAACCAAATATAAAAAAAAACAATAATGCAATAAAAATCTTTATCAAATATTAACATCATGATAAGAAGCGTGTTCAAATTAAATTCAATGTCATTCTTGAGACGAATAAAGCGCGGTTGGTTACAAATCGCCCTCGTGATTTTGGCAGAGAGTTGCGCTCGGCGCTAAGAATACGGCAAACAAAAGCGAACGATTGAGTCGAGCGCCGTGATGCCTACACGCAGAAAAATTGAGACACGTTGTCCAAATGCCGATGCATTTTTTGCCCATGTCTAGGTCATCCTAACCCAGTTATCCGGGGCAACAGGAGATATTAGTGCTATATGCAGAAAGTGTATCACTATTGGGACAATTTGTCTCATTTATATCTACGAGAGCGCACCTGCGATATGAGGGCAATAACCCGGTCGTGCGAATCTCAATTTTTGCAGCGTCTCGTATATTGAATATTAAAAATATTTGTGCATTAAATGCAGGAAAAAAGTAATATATTAAAAATTATTACTCATTTCATATCTTGAAGATATCAAGAGTTTAATTTAGGTTGGAGAATGTTCACGTACAATACGGCAATTTTAATATAATATTGAACAAGTGTAGATAGCGGTTTCAATGCAAAACAAGTTCATGTATGGTATGGCAGAAAACGTTGTTCATCAGCATGCTGAATAATGAGTTCGATTCATTCATAAGGTTTATGAAAAAAAATAAGACAACGAAACTCGTAGTAAACTTTTGAAGTTTGATCGTAATTATCCAGCATGATGCAAGAAAACTTTTTACCGAAATCCAATTTAAGTTGCTTCAAAAATATTTTGCTAGCAGTATTATATCATATTATGAACTTGAAGAAGTGTAAAGAAAATTTTATTTTCAATATTAGTTGATTATTAATTATAACGAATAATTAATAATTATTAAAAATTAACATTAATTAATTATTATTAAAAATTAATATTAATTACTTATTAATCCTAATATTTAATGTTATTACTTATGCAGTTGAATGTGTTTTAATAGCAATTGAATATCAATTTTACAACGGCATTCAGAATAATTTGATAAATTTTACGTTGTAATGACTGATAATTCTAAAACAATTAGTTCAATATGTATGATATAAATTGAACGATAACGCTTGCACATGTAAAAAAATGAATCAGTACTCACCGAAAATTTTTTCATCGTGTTAAATTATCTACTATTTTACTATTCACTATCACCGTTATTACATTTCAAGTTTCAAGAAATTAGTTAACCCGATTCGTATCTAACAATAAATTTCGTCTTCGTTAACAACTACAAAAATTTCGTATAACAAACATAGAGAGAAGCTGTACCCAGAGATGTGTACCACTCTAACCCGATCACTACACTGAGGTAGCTTCACGATCGCCAACTCTATTTATATACATATTTAGAACTCAGAAATTTTTGGTGCAGTTGGGGCTAAAGTTTTTTTCGATGTCACGGTCATTCGTCTCGATCTGTCACGGCCTCGCGTCTTCGGTCGCTTGCGGCCAGACGCGATCGCCAATTAGAAAGGAAAGTCATTCGGTCTAACAATCGTCGACTTTACTATCACTTTCTAACGGCCCCTCCGCACGATTGAAATGAGACGATCGTAGTTTTAAAGTGTAAATTAAAAATTACTTTAGTGAACAGCTCGTAAGTGCGCTCACTCCTTAGTAAATGGGACGTACTCACGTCCAAGCTTCCGTGCACTTTCTTGAAGAGCAAACTGTCTCATGAACTAAATTGAACAGCTTCAATGATTATATGCAATTTGATATGCAATATTATTAAATCATTATTGTTTGTTATTGCATTTTATAGTCATTTTCGAGAATTTTTTACAAATAATTTATTTTAAAGTCGCTCACTTCCCAGAACTTTGTTTAACAAGTGATTTAACAAGTAATGCGCGACTTCCTCTAAGGAATTGAATAATAATTTTTTGTACTATATTAATTATGCGATGAAATAGTTATTATTCTGACAGTTATCTGATAATTATTGATAAATTTTGCATTCTAATCTCTAATTTATTCCAAATAAGGAGCAGTGAAATCTGATTACCAAATTTGTTTTATATAAGCCCCAATTTATTCTACATGAGAGTGTCATGAAATGAAATCTCAAACTACACTAAAAGAGGCTGTAATGAACCAAATCGTAGCAATATCTACGACATAACTTAATACATTCATATTACTCTAATTAGTCTAATCTGGTAAATCGAAAGAGAAATCATTTGTATATTATATATAATTATATTTTAAAGAATGACATTTGGCCTAACAAATGTGCTCAAGCGTATGAATTTAAATTAATAATATCGGTGACCGAATGACCAAAATTCAAATAAAGAAATTTTGTACTTTATCAAATTTTATCTATTCAAACAATTAGTTAATTTTGACTAAAAACTTCATTAAAAATGTATTCCCGCACCTGCATTCATTTCACAATCCTAAACTAGCGTGCGATTTGTATTGGGTAATGTCCCTGTTTTAACGCTTCATAAGCGATAAATCCATCATAATTATTTTTTTTCTTTTGCAATTGAAAATTGTTTTCATTAGAATTCAATTTTATTAAAAAGAACCTGCAAGTCTCGCAAGAAAGACAAAGTGACTCGCGCTCTAGAAGGCCAAATAATTTTACAAAACAAAAAGCCCTAAAAATAATTCTGTGATAAAATGTCAAAATTAAACATTGAATAAAAATTTTAAAAATTTTAAATAAAAATTAGATAAATTTTACATTTCTAAAAATCCTGCTCGTTTGAATGTGAAAAAGTCTACTCAAAGTTTTCTTATCATACAGCACGCGCGTCCCTGAATTATGGAACATAGACAAGTCAACTCAGTTGTTAACGCACTTGAGCTTACCTCTGTATAGTTTGATGTATTTTCCTATAAAACACGCGGACCTTTACATATATAAATGTATTTTCCTATAAGACACGCAAAACCTTTGAATATATTAATATATTTTCTCATGAGACTTGCAGGATCTCTACATATATGCATGTATTTTCATATAAGAAACCGGTGATCTTCACACATATGAATGTATTTTCCTATTGGACGCCCGGGACAATTACATATTTTAATATATATTCCTATAAGACGCCCGGGACCTTCACATATATTAACGCATTTTCGTATAAGACGCCCGGACATTTACATATATTAATGTATTTTCCTATATGACGCCCGGGACCTTCACATATATTAATGTATTTTCCTATATGACGCCCGGGACCTTCACATATATTAATGTATTTTCCTTGTTAGACACGCTATTTGAGTCGAAGCTGGACAAATTTAGTACCCACGGTGAGCTACAGGCCAAAGTTTTTTGTTTGCATTGTGTGATGATAACAGTTTTCTCTAAATAATTTCAATATTCATTAAGTAATATATTATAAATATTACTCTCTTTACAAATAAAGAAATCAAACATAGGTATAAATGTATGATATTCAGAGATGAGGCACTTCTTGAGCAAATGATGATCAGAAATTAAAGGCGATTTGTATTCAGCTATAGAACGCGTAATCTTTCTGAGCATTTTTCTCTAAGTGTTTAAATGAATAGGTACGAAAGTAATCAAATAGTCATCTAGAAGCATTGTAATCGAATAGGCACCTAGGATTAATATAACTTGAAAAGTTGTTTCGGTGCGAAAATGCTATTGTGTAAACCCATTTACTTGAACCAATAAAATATTTTGAAAATAGGCTATAAAGTTTTGTATATTTAACACGCCTCCATGAGTGTTGATAGAGATCCCATTGAAAATAAAATTAAATAAAAATCATTGCACTGAAATTGAGAATGCAGATGATTACAACAGTATGAGGAAAAGTACACTGACGACTGTCAACAAAGTATTGAGAGCAAATAAAAAATCTGCTTTCACTTCAACGTGACCGCGTGGAATCGTCCGTATACAGACAGCCCTGTATGTGCGGCAGGTTTCTTCAACTCATTTGAATATGAGACTCATACTTAAAGTCGTGACATATTCGAACGAATGCCGATTATGCCACTGCTCTCATCAGTTGAGCGAAATAATCGTTTTTCTGATCGTAAAAAAAAAACATTTGAAATTACAAAGCATTACGCAAGCATTAAAATAAACGTTACGTAAGTATTAAATAAAAGCGTTACGCAAGCAATGAAGAATGAATTCAAAATACTCCCGTTACACCAATACTCTTCTAGTTCAAAGCATGTAAGGTATTTTGATCAAATCCTAATGACGGCATGACTATTCGAACACCGGAAATTAAATCTGACGTTTATTATTTTTTAAGCTTGAAATGTTAGGTCTTGCTTAATGCATCATTTTACTTCTCGTTCCCATCAATTTTAATTTGAGCTCCACCGCACAGCTCTGCCCACGGCAGGGCAGGTATAGTCCACGTATAGCTCTGCCCACGGCAGGGCAGGTATAGTCCACGTATAGCTCTGCCCACGTTAGCCCACGTATAGTTCTGCCCACGGCAGGGCAGGTATAGCCCACGTATAGCTCTGCCCACGGCAGGGCAGGTATAGCCCACGTATAGCTCTGCCCACGGCAGGGCAGGTATAGCCCACGTATAGCTCTGCCCACTTCGGGGCAGCTATGCGTGGCCCGCAGCATTACTTCAGAGCTGGCCGAAAAGGCTGTCACTGGAGCGCCTGCGGTCTTTTATACTGCTTCACTAATACTTTATACTATTCTTCTAATGTTTCTAATGTACTAATGTACTTTATACTAATTAACAGACAGAAGCAGACAGGATTGGCTAAAATTCAGGGGATTTTAGCTCAGATTCGACATTTAGTGCCGGGACCCACCTGAAAATAAAAAAATTCTAGGCGTCTTATGTAGCCAATTAAATTGGGCCTCAATATTTTTGGCACTTGTTATTCAAAAGAAGCGTTTTGTCGACTTTATTGTCATATGTTTGTTACAGAAATGAGCAACACCAGAAACGAACATTTTTTTTTTAAACAAACAGTATGACGAAGACATTCCCTCTGAAGGTCTACCTTTCTAATACAAGTGTGACAGCAACCTGTAGTTGTATTAATTTAAAAAGGAATGTATTCCAGATGATCATGGCTTTAGCCAATAAATGATTGATACAACACGAAATTTTGTATATCATCAAGATAAAAATTCTATTTTTCTTAGCCGAGTTAGTATTAAAAACAGAGGTGTTGGGAAATCAAACTTCTACATTTGATCAACCCTCCCAATCGCCAGTATCAGTAAGTTATAACTATTAATGTGAGTGACAAGTTGACTCAGACCAATGTTGAGTGTTCCATTTAGGTTCAACGTTCAAATGAAACGTCATTGGTCAGAAATGTTGCTCTGTGCATAACATGAAATTACGTTGAGAGAGCCCAAGCATATGTAAGTCTGATCAAGAAAGATAAGAAGATACATTATATTTATAAATAACGATTACGATGCGAGAGAAATCGTTCTACCAAGTAGCAACTATTTAGTGAATTCAAAGCCTCTTATCGAAATCGTCTGATCGTTTTATCCGGATACACTGCAAGAATTTGTTCGATTAAATTGTTGCCATTTTTGTGAATCTTATTTCCTTCACTGGACATGGGAATCTTAAATATTGCTGAACATTTCGCGATTTTCTAGAAGCCTTAAACTCCTAATCTCTGTTGTTGGGATTGTCCCTCGACTGCAATTGATCAATTTACTGTTTACTAGTTTCAGACGAATACGAAAGTTAATTGCTTACAATATTTTCTTTGAAATTGTGCAGCTTCAGTACGCATATTAAGTTCTAGAATAGATCAATTCCAAGAACACACTCGTTGTGCTGGGCCAACACAAACCAGTGTGCGCACGACGCGATGTTATACAATTAGAATTAGAATTACCGAATACTGATATTAGATGATATTCTAGAGCTTCACTTTCCGGGAAGATGACAAACTGTTGTAACTAATTAGTTATATTGGATGATATTCTAGAGCTTCATTTTCCTGGAAGATGGCAAACTGTTGTAATTAATTCATTATCTGAACGTCGGGTTAAAAACATGCTAGCTTGCTTGTTTTTGGAAAACTCCATTTGATTTCAACATAACCTTAATTATATTATAAAAAATATATAAAATAATTGAAGCTACTTTCGTTAATTTATTCGTAACTCACATTTCGTAACATAATAATAATGTATTCGGTTTATTTATGGACATTTCCATACATTCAACGTGAAGATTTCATTCATTTTTTCATTCGCTTTTTGTATTCATTTTGTATTTTCTATGAAACGTACGAAGTTTAACTAAAGCCATCAGATATCAAGAAAATGTATCTCAGATATTAAA